GCAAATAACAAGCTGATAGCCCACCCGCCCCTTTGTAATTTAATGCTGACTATTTTGATCACAGTAATCTAGTAAAACTTTTCCTACAACTTTTGCTTAAGCAAAACATATCTATATTTTATAAATGGACGCAAATGCTTACCGGGGTCGTGCTTTCGACCGTTTTAGTCTGATGAATGGTCGTCCTGATCCACACAAATTGGTAGGTACTAGCATTTCTATTTAAATTACTTGAACCGGGAGATTTAAAACTGTTGCAATGGTTCTTGTAATATGTAAACCTTCTTTTTAAGAGCATCTCCACCGAGCCACTTCATGTAGTGCTACAGATCTTTTTTGGAGTGGAGTTAAAGCACTTGCGTTCTCACCGCACCACTTTATAATATCTCAATTTTTGGAGAAAACTCCATACTTTTGGTTTACCACGCCAAATCTGGAGTGACTTCAAATCTATCTCCAAAACCTTCACATTCTAAGTTGCCAAATTCGACCATACCCATTCGTTGCACTCACCTCTTTTAAAAACTATGGATGCCTGAAATCTTAACATTGATGATTCAATGCTCAATGCTCACCAAACCGCGCTAACATAGGCGGCAGGCGTAGCAAGAGCTAGAGCATCGTTGTCGGTTTTGAAGTGGTGCACTGTGGGTGTGGATTCTAGGAAGTGAGTACATCAATCGCGTAGTCCACTTGATGTGGCACTCGATCTTAGCGGTAGTATCAAGTGGCGCGGTGGAGATACTGTTAACTGATCCTTGAAAATTACTTTATGGTTGATGGTATCAGGAATGGGAGGAATGCGAAAAATTGCTGTGAGGATAGTCATTTTCCTTTACGATAGTACTCAGTCATATTGTCGCTACTACGAATTCGCTTTGTTGATACATGTGCTTGTAATTGTGTGCAATGATCGTGCACAGTCAAAGTTACTCATCTGGTAACTTCATGCGCGTATGCCGCTTTCGTGACCACGGCAGCTCAAACTCACGCGCAAGCGCCATACGCAAGTATGCTGGATCCATTTACATGACACTACGTAGTGTTGGCAACTAAATCAACACCGATCCTGACATATCAGCATCTAAAGGTGAACAAAGACTTCATGTACCAGTAGCGCCCCGGTCCGACTAACCATATAGAACCTTACTGGGTTCCTCCTGTTCTACCTGAGAACACAATCTGTCAACTCCTATCCCGACTACACGTTACTTCCGGTACCGACCCGTATTTTAACAGTAGGGTATAACGCACCGTGCTACGATCTAGAAGGCGGAGAGATGTCGCAGCTGCGACAAGTTGTTAAAGGTGACTTGACTTTGAAAGAGTACAAAATAGTCTGTTTGAGTCTGCTCTGGACCGAATCTTCCAATCAGTTTAGCCAAGCTTCGATAAACTGTGCTTTGTATTCAGTAGTCTGATCGTGCGTCGCTATGGTCGCTTTAAAATACACTGAGGCGCACGACCTGAGCTTTGACAGCATTTGATAACGCAGTTTGAAATAGGAGCACTTGCTGGTGTACATTCTTTACTTTGGCCAGGTGGAATATCGATTAAATGGGTCGACTAGGCCCGTTTTACAGATAAAGTAGCCACCGTATACGATACTGTTATTCGTAAGAAGAATCCACTTTCCACATGTTCTGGAAATCTCATGGACGACGGAGGTGCTTGTAAGAGTTTGTACGTCTTCTCATTGCTTGCACCATTGTTAATATCTCGCGCGTGGGCAGAATCACATCGATTCAACACTGATCGCGCGATCTTTCAGTTTACTTCGAGCTGATGCTCGGCAGATTCGGTCACGATGCATGTATCAAGTCAATCAGACAGCGAGTCTTGCATAGTATTGTTGCGTACGAATACACACCAGCCCAGAAGTACCTGATTTGGTACAGTAGCAATCTTGCCATGTTGAACATGTAAAGCAGACTATATTGTACACTCCTCAATGTTCTTTTGTCGGTAAAATCCCGGAGCTGAACGAGGATCTAGTAATCTATTTTCGTGTAGGTTGCATAGTTTCTAGACTAACCTGCGCACAATCAGCAACACCACAAAATCTTAAACAGGCTATTTACATTCCTTCACGCATTTTCTGTAACGATGGATCGCAACCTGATCTGCAAAGACAACCACAAGCCAATACGCGACCTCTCTTCGCATCCACAGGAGTTGTACTGGAGTGCGATTGCTTCGTACTAGAAGCTTGCCCTTTTTTCTCAGATGAGACGCACCGAGTGAATTTGTAGTATCCGATTCAGGGAAATACAACACAGCTAGTGGTTATTGATTAGTTCGCTACACTTCCATGCGCAAGCAAGGATGAACGACCTTAGAAAGAATGCTGCAGCGTATAAGGTTCGAGTATCAATTGTGTTTTCGGTTGTCGAGGGAAGACGAGGGTGTGCAAAAAAGAATTTTAAGCGCAACGTGGTAGATTAGCTAGTACTGTCTTATGCCGTACGTGCAGTTTATTCTTGTCTTGAGGTGCAACATGTGCATGTATTTCACTGTCTTCTTTTTGCGCCTTCCCACTGACAATTCAAAACACGTCATTTACAATTGACGCGAGCGCATTCTCGTGCTAGCTATCGTCAATACATCCAGCATCGCGCGCACAGTAGTCCCTTCCATCTGAGCTTCAGCCCAAGCCTCTGGTCATATACCTACAATGGAAGTACTAGTTGTTCAGGTGTCTTCTGAAACACCACAAAGTTCGATCTCGACACAAGTCGCCTAACATGGCCATACATCGCTCCCATTATGTGTGAAGTCAACCATAGTCCCTGCCGCTTGTACTTTGTCGACCGGTCCATATTAGCATGGAACATTGTGAAGACCAATCCACGGTGATATCAGGATTTATCAAGCTGCGTCAATCAATGCTTATTGCAATAGCGCGTTTCATCCCAACAGAGCCAATAGCTTAGCTTCAGGTCATTTGACATTGCATATTCCTGTTAGTCTCTGTACAGCCACTCACTCTCCTATTCGAGCGACAACGGCGCAACGCCCGACTAGAGTTACTTCAGGCCACGCTGGATAAAGTGCGACCAGGTCGCACGAAGGTGAATCGACACAAAAGAGCCAAGAAGTGACCCGCCATAATTGGTCCTCTTTAATTCAATCGAGAGGTCGTTTCGAAAATTTAGCATTTCGCGTCATAATACACAAGAGGTTGAGAAGTGCCTCTCGTGGGGAGGTGCAAGTGACGATGGAGGCACCAACCTATCTATTCGTACACCTTTAGATTGGTATGACACAAGAAGCACAAAAAGCAACTATCTGTTTCGCTTTAGCTTGTGATTGTAAATGCATACTTCGTCACTGCAGCTAAGTCGTCATCACTTGGCGGACTGGAAGGGAGGCATGACGGATCGTCAAGGCAATCATGACAACACATCAGACATTGCATTGTTATCACTTACATGGCAGAGTTACGCATATAAGGTTGGTGTTGGGCAAGTGCAACGAGGGACCGACAGGATGACTATGCTGGACAGTTGCGCTGCTGCTGTGCTGCAGACACGGTGGATAAGAAGCAAAGAATTTGACATGAGCAGAAGCAAGCGGATGAAAACGATGGTGCTGCCAATGGCTGCATTGGCTCGCAGATCGAGAATCATTGCCGCAGTCGATGACTAGGAGGTCAGTGGATGTGGAGTTTGCCTTCGACTTTCGTACGGACATACAGCCGGTGCCAAGCATCCTCAACGCATTCCCTCGGATGAAACAAATCGTTACAATCAACGGGAAGACACCGCAAAAGCACAGATAAATAAGGACTACACGACCTTTAATTTAGCGCGAAAAGGAATCGTGTGCTTGAAAGCACTGCTGGTGCATCGTTTGTTGGCACATTCGAGTAGCTTGATAAACCACATTCGTGTTTACAACGGCAACTTTGCTGAGATGGTTCCCGCGCGGTGAAAGCCAATTTGGCGATGAATGTTGCTGCAGCCCGTTCTTCGAGCTCGTGTTATTACAAAACCGTTCGGCCAGCACGTGTATCGGTCGTCTGGAAGCTAGAGACATTTACTGATCCAGGCTAGTCGTCACCACATACGTTCGTATATCGACACCAGAACAACCACAAGGTATCATCGCACAGTGTGCTAGCATTGGCTTTTATTGTAGCTACGCGAGCAAAGATGTAAATGGCATCATCGTTATCGTTGTCCGCCCTATCAGCTTCGTTGAACGTTTGTCTACTTCCGTATCGTTGCGACAGCAAGCCTCCGATGCTGAATACAGTTTAAGTTCGAACGAATCGTTCGCGTGATACGTTCCTCCGCCCCCGTCGTGCTGTCCACAAAGCAGAGTCGTGAGACTGGGGTCCATCCAGTGCTTCGACCACGATCGATTCTATCAACTGACAGGAGCTGAAAGCAGCAGTATACGAACGCAAAGCTGGATATGTGTGATGTAATGTATTGGCCTTGCAACAGCTTCTACATCCTACAAACGATCGATGATCTAGACGTGGTCGTATGATGAAAAAAAATGGCACGTGTTCTATCAACACATACCAGGTTCCACCGTATGACGGCGTCTTTGCAAAGAGTGATCTGCGCTACCATTTTCGATCGATATGAAGCTCACCCTTTGATATTAGCACTGAAGTAGTCGATTGCGAGGATGGCTACGATATGACGGAAGTGGCAGCGGTCGACGAACACTTCAACGGTGACACGGTCTTTCGGACTTAATCGCGTTCCCTCCAACTTCCCAGTCGTTCGGCTCCCCGACGAACGGTCGAATCACCGACTCGCAATCAACTCTCGATGCGTCCGATTCGTCAGAACACGTTCGCATCGCTCACCCTACCCCGCCGACATTTGGTTGGTTCGAGTGAAGCGAGACTTCTTCTCACTTGATGTTTGTATGCCTCGTCTCGTGAACGCCTTTTTGTATGGCCAGCCGAGCTTCCCCGCCTCCGCTAGACTTATTTTACCCTTCCTTCCGCTCCGCAATAAAGTCCCAAGCCCGCTACTAAGATGGTACGGTCTCGTGGGTTATTATCCTCGCTCGCTCTCAGGCTGTAGCTACTGTGGCCAGCACTGCAATGCCTTGGTCCCCTCTGTCTCCGTCTCTTTTCCTCTGGTCAATGGCACAACCGCTGGACTTGTCAGATACTGAGGCTCGACCATACAATGCATCGATTCAAACTACATCTAAAACGACCCAGGAACTCCAGTGTTGTTAGGGACGGAGTGAAACAAACGGAGAGACGGAGGATGCACTTGCACATGGCTTCACGCTGCAACCTGATGGCTACATGTATCCATATTCTGACCACTTATTGGGTGGGTACTAACAGTGGTAATTGTAATTGTTGATGTTGTCGGAATGTAGACGAAAGGTACGCAGAGTTTCGGTATGCGTCATAACAAGACGCACACCATCTGTAGACGGTGTGGGCGTAGCTCGTACCACATTCAGAAGGGCACGTGCTCTTCGTGTGGGTACCCTGCAGCCAAGATGCGCAAGTGTACGTTGCCGTAACCTTCTGTCCAATTGCATGTATTGAGATCGGGTATAAAAGTGGATTGTTCGTTTGTATGTAACGGTCACTTGGCATGTTGATTTTTATTTCGTATTGTGTAGACAACTGGAGCCAAAAGGCTTTGCGTCGTCGTACTACCGGCACGGGCCGTATGCGTCACCTGAAGACGGTGCAGCGCAAGTTCAAGAACGGATTCCGTGAGGGTTCGTCTGCTGTGTCCAAGAAGGCCTCTACCAACTAAGTACACTCGAAAGGATTGTCAATCGAGGAGAACAGGGAAACAGGCAGCTGGGGTAAACGGCATCAGTGAGCAAGCGAAGTGACAGGATAGCGGTGAGAAGGAGTGTGGAAAACGAAGCAGAAGTGGAACGTAGAACTTTGAGTGGCAGTGGGTGGCAATGGACGGTGGGTGTGGAAGCATGCAACGACAAAGCACTCGACCGCTTTGGAGACCTACGAGACGACTTTTCAATCCAATATTCACATCTTTTGGCCGTTCCTGCTCTTTTCAACTTGATGCGTTCGGGGCCAGGTGATGTCTTGTGTGCGACAGTTTTGGTTTCTTGCATAGGAGTGACGATATTGTCCTCGCGGTCGGCTGTCAAGAAGTGGCGGAAAGAAGTCAAGAACTCGAGATGGCACCATCTACAGGATCGCGCTTTCAGTCGGACCTGAGGTTGTTTATGCGGAAATTGCGCATGCGTTCGGCGTTTATCTTCCTTATCAACGCTGAAAGGTATAACGTCACTCTATCATTCGTTCTGGAAGCTGGTGTATGCGACGCAAGGTCTTGGGTGGGTCTGCTCTTCAGCGCATAGAGTGTCTTTTGCACGGGTTTTAGACCTTAGCGTCCTCAGCCTTTAGCCCTTCTTGTACTCTTCCAGCTTTATGTAACCTTCTGCTATAGGGTCCTGCGCTTCATCGTCTTGAAGGCGTCTTCGTTCACACATGCAGGAAGTCTAGCCTGCATCATGCAGAGGATACATGGACAATTGCAAGTAGAGGACAAGTTATCCGAAAACAGTGTTGACTACTCTCTTGTATCACAATTTGTCCAATGCGCTCTTGGAAACAGATGCCATCCAAGTGCAGCAGCACTATTTTAAACTCTCAACCGAGTCCAGCATTGTACTCTGCCCCTTCCATTGTTTGCTATTCGTTTATACTTGATCACGATGTTTTACCAGTCCTACGCAATTGTGCTGGTATTTGCATTCAGTTGTGGGTTCATACTCCTCTAGCCCGTACTGTTGCATCTGTATGACTTTCGTCTAGTACACTGTGCACTCGTGCATCCTCTTTGCCGATTGACTCACACTGAGAAGCTGGAAAAAAGTTCGTCCTGGATGCGGATGCTGTGCACATTCGGCTATCCAAGCGCCTACAACAGTTGTAAACAAACTTTTGTATACACAGCCTCACTCAACACCTTAGCTGTCAATCAATCGAACGGTTATTGTAGAGAGGCCGCATCGAAAGTTTCGAGAACTTGAATCTGATACCTCCTTACCAGCTATGCTTCTCCCGCAAGACGTGACGGCGTCTCATTTAAAAACAATAGGCACTGACAAAACATCTTTGTTGTTATCATTCTGGCACCGCTCGCGAGGTGCAGTTAGTCATGCGTCGTGAGCACAGGTACCTCAGAATTGATCATGCGACTTCAAACCAACGACTTCATCCCTCTTTAACACTCCTTTAATTATCGATCGAAACGAAATAAAGAACTTGTGTTCCCCTTTTGCCGCATAAATATTAACTAAGACATGATCGCGTCGCCGGGAAACAAAGGTATCCAACGTCTCGCCTAAGTATCACTAGCTGGCAAAACTCGATTGGTCGAGTCTACTCGTCCTCATTTAGCGTGGCACACACCCAAACAGCTCTTCCACTCGCCAGTGCTGCCACAGCTGTAAATCGGTTCCGACTCACACATTTGTTGCAAAATGGGGAGCGACGACAAAGCCGTAGCCAAGCCGTACGATCTCGATTTCATCCACTACATACCTGATCCGCCTTCTGACCGTCTCGTTTGCAATATTTATTGATGCTTTCTCTCATGCTTCTGGTGCTTATGTTTCTTCTGTTATGGTTTTATCTGTTTACATTTAATTTTCTATAGAACTGAGGACGAAATGACTGGTCAGAAACGCAAGGCCATTGACGATGCAAAGATTACGTCGTTCTTTAAGACTGGAAACGAGAAGCAGGAGGAGGAAAAGACGGACGAGACCGAGAAAAAGACGGAGAAAAAGGAGGACCAAGACGATGACGAGAATGATGAAGACGATGAAGACGAGGACGTTGAGGAGGACGATGACGACGAAGATGACGACGGTGACAGTGGAGAGGAAGATATGGCTCCGCGGAAGAAGAAGCGGCGGACGCGAGACAGCGATGATAGTGAAGACAGCGGTGACGAGTCCGAGCCTGAGCTCAAGATGACGGAGGACGACCTTGTGGGCGTCGACACGACGAATATCATCCCACGTTCTCGGCGCCGTGCGGCAGTTGCTGCGATGGCGCTGGCGTCGGAGGAACTTGCAGCTTCTACGGGTGTTGCACCTGCTGCTGCTGCTGCGGTCAATGATCGTAAGGACGACGGCGACGACGATGATGGCGAATCTAGCGACGAAGCGGAGTTTTAAGCAGTCGTACAAAAGAAGCGCAGCTGATGTTGATGTGCTTACAAGAAGAATCGCTTACTTACTTTGCTCTGTCCATGACTGGAACGGTCGGCGATAAGTACGTACGGTCGATGGAGGATATACATCTTGGCGGGTCGCTGAAGTCTGCACTATTTTTGTTGAACGAGGACACTCTCTATGGAGCTGGACCTAGCAGTTTCTCGAAATGCCAATATGCAGCCTCTGCGGCACGCGTTCGCGCCAGCTTGTACGATGGTGCAGTTCCCTTGCATACTGGCTGCACGATTCATACAGCAGATCATACGAATGACGTAAGTATAAAGCACAAGCAAAGATGTTGATGGTTGAAACTTACCCTTCCTTTCACATAGAGCTCTGCCGTGTACTCAGAGGCATTCACCGCGGCTGGCAGGTACCTGGACATGACAAGACAAAAGTAAGAGGGTAGGTACTTCGTTCCACACATTGCATTCCTACTGTCGATGCAATGTCGTACTTGTAAACAGGATGTCCATAGTAGTGCCCTTGCAAGAGGTTCTGCAGCTCAACAGTGGGTTCCCAAATCACGTCGCGCGTGGCATACTCAACTGAGCGAGGGAGAATGTGCGTCGTCACAAAGTGCAGCGCTGTCTCCATACCCTGAGCAAAACGCACACATTTTTATCGTCACCACAGTGATCACAAAACAATGTATCTCAGCGCCAGTCATCGTGTATACCTGATCCAGATAAATAGCTGCAATGAGCGCTTCGACTGCGCCTGCAGCAATAGTGACCCGACCCTTGACAACCAACGATGCACTGCTCGCCTCGTTCAGCCCAGGAGGCCATAGGAGAAGCTTGGTGATCCCCAAATCTACACTGATCTTCGACAGCGTATCGTTGTTCACAATCGCCGACTTGGCACGTGAGAGCTGCCCTTCCTGATGTTTCGGTAGTGTCTGGTACACATAGCCCGCAGCTGCTGCCCCCAAGAGCGAGTCCCCAAGAAACTCCAAACTGCGGTTACTGAGTCGAACCACAGGCACATCTTCCGACAGCGAATAGTTCGGCAGACATCCATGATGTGTCAATGCACTTTTTAGCAGCGTCAGTTGCTGGAACTGGACGCCAATGGTTTGCTGGAGCTCTTCAAGTCCAGCATCCCAGTCTTCCGGAATATGGACCCGCTCAAAGTGGTCCGGTTTGATAATCTGCCAATCAGAATTCGTTGCGGGAAATAAGAGCTCCTGTGCGGTGAGAGTCTTGGAAGTAATCACGTCTCCATCTAAACGGCGTCGTTCTAATTTAACACTTTGGTTCAAATCAGATGACACTCGCGCGTTAGCTGGTCTTGCAGCTCTCTCGACGTCGCTTTCAGCGGCTATCGAAGCTGCAACTGCATCAGCTACAGCTTGTGGACTTCTGAAGCCATTAGGAAGGAAACTGCGGGACGAAGAGAACGCACGGAGTCCACTGGAAGAAGTGGCGAATATCTGACGACATCTGATGCCAATCATTATCTGGTGCTTCTATTTTTATTTGCATTTGTCACGTCGGTGGACGCTGAGATGGGGTACATAGCATATGTTTATGTCTTTTCAAAATGAATTTAATTCAGCTCTCTGGCGTGGAGGACCCAATCACACAGCCACCCACCCACCCACTCATGTGAGTTTCGTCTCCGCTACTATGACCACATGTTCGGATAATCTCGCACCTTTCGAAAAAACTTCGATTGTCCATCCGCTGACGTCGTCGACCCATATTTTCTGCGAATTGTACAGAGCGGATCAATGCTGATATCATCTAGGGTAGATATAGTGAGGCGCAATACATCTGACACAACGATGAAGAGAAGGACTCAAGCACCGAGGACTTAAATATACCAGAACATTGCTCTGGCATGCTGGACACGCGTCTTGCATGTGCAATTTCAATCGCAGCGACGGAAGCAGAATCAAATGATGGAGACAGAGACCAGAGACGCGGCTACTTGAAGTAGTGCCAGCAAGCTCCTGAGCTTTATCGTTCCCTGATGTTTGGTGCATGAAGTAGTAAAGGCGTTCATTTAGTGATTTCAGGTTGCAAATGGTACGTAAATGAAATAGGCGACGATCTCATGGCAGCAGACGTAGCGTAGCATCATAGACATTGAAACGGTCCTCACACTCTTTCCTATTGTAGCTTCCTAGGATATGGTTTACAACTTCGACACCGATGCGGAACTGGATAATGATGACGCGATCGATCACGGTCAGCGAACAGCATCGCAGTATAGAACTTGATGTACGGAGTAGTGCTGGACCTTTGTCTCCGAGCATTCAAACCTGTCATAAACTGTTGCTCAACATCTTTAGTCGATAAACTTTCAAAGATCGTTACTGGTGATGTCATGACCTCCTCGTCCCTCAACATGCTAGAGTCTTGCGATGTGATGCGCGTGAATAAATCAATGTTAATGACGGCGCACCACGTCTCAATTGCCTGGTCCTGATAAATGCAATGTTAGGCTAGTGGTGTGGGTGAACTCCACAATTATACGCATTTAGCTCTTTTTTTGTATCAAGCAATATGACAACCGCTTTTGAAATCTATCAAGTCAGTTCCTTCTGCGTGAACCGCATACCATTGCCATACACACACCAGACAAGACAACATACACTTGCACTCTTCCAGTTCGTCGACGCTTTCTTTAACCCCATGCCTGATTTCCATCTGCTGATCCATCGAATCCCGAAAACAAACAACATCCAACCGTGTCCACAAACCTTTCAAGCAGCCTATTCTCAAAGCCCCAGCCAGATATGACCAAAAAAGGATTCCCTCATCATAATAAAATACCACCACCGTAATTTACGCACCACCAAACCATCACCAATAGCATCCAACCAGTCAGTGGCTGTCTCTCGTCCACGCACGTACGCTCCGCCGCCTCTTCCTCCATGCGTCGCAATCGTTCCAGCGCACTCTCAGAGCCCTCAGTGCCTCCCCAGCGTCTGCACTCTCTCCGCTCTTCATCCCGCAAGCTCCTGCGCTCATCGTCGTCGTCCGTCATATCACGCCCGTCGTCGACGTTATTCACGAGAAAGCAGGATACGAAGCAGTTTACCAAATTAAACTGTCATGTCACTCTTTCGAATTCATCCGATACTGACACTGCCACACAGGATAACCATGAGCCACATTATGATGCCGACCACTTGACTGCATACGAACGTCAACGGCTCGAGAAGATCCAGCGCAACTTGGCGTTCATGCAGCAGATGGGCGTCTCCACGGCCAAGATTGCCGCTAGGACCGCTATTGACGCCAATACTAGTGCTGGAGCTGCTGGTTCTAACAGCAGTATGTCAAGTGCTGCCGCTTCTTCTTCTTCTTCTTCTATTGAGGCTAAACGGCAGCAACGAGCGGCTATTCGAGCGATGCAGGCGGTTCGCAAGGCCGAGCGCCTGAGTCAACCGGTTCGAAAGTCGAGACGACTAGAAGGCAAGAAGGTGGAGGTGCAGCCGATTGAGTCGATTGACCACTTTGAGCTGCATCAGATGCGGAGCTCGTCCCGTCGTCTGAGTCGAGGCAGCACCAGCACTAGCAATTTGGCTGTTGTGATGGATGCAGTGGATGGGGAAAGTCGCGCTTTTTTGGACCGGTTTGTTACGGTCAAGTCGGAAGACGAAGCGCTGGAAAAAGATGCTGTCTTTACTGAAGACGACAGTGATGAGCATGATGCGGTGGATGATGAGTATAGGGTGGAGTACACGCTGGCAGATGGAGATGTGGTCAAGGCCGTGCAAGCACGGATATACTCGGTGGCGTTCTTGCCGCGTGCAGACCGTGTCGTAATTGCGTGTGGCGACAAAATGGGCCATGTGGCTCTCTGGACGCCGCTAGCTGCAGCGAAAATGCAACACGAGAGCGCGGTGTCGCCGTTGGCAGTGTACCGGCCACATGAAAACCCTGTGAGTCAATTGATCTTTTCTGATTCGTCGAAGCTGGTTTCGAGCAGTTTTGATGGCACTGTGCGCGAGTTTGATCTGCGTGCTGCAAAGTCATCGGTTATCTATGACACGAGCGAAGATGCGGGCATTTCGTCGCTTGTCACAGCGAGCATGGCGCAGTGCTACTATGCAAGTTGCGACGATGGCACTGTCCGGCTGATTGATCGGCGTGCGCAAAACGTGCAGAGCTCGCGCTATCAATTGCACGAGAAAAAGATTAACACGGTGCATCAGCACCCGAGCCTCGACTTGTGAGTACTTGCTGATTGTGGTTTATCTGAGAATGCCTTTCGCCCACTGACATTTTCCCTGTCGTTGTGTAGCTGCATCGCAACGGCTTCTTTGGACCGCACAGTATGTCTGTGGGATGCTCGCAAGATGTCCATAGAGCAAAACGTGCCATTGGTGACATTGCCGCACTACCGCAGTGTGAATTGTGCCTATTTTTCTCCGCGAGATGGCGCGTGGCTGGTGACAGTGGGACAGGACTCGTTCGTTGACATGTTTGACATGTCGAGTCTTACTGAGCATAAGCTCTCAGGTGAGCTCACGACGGCCTTGCCCAAGCCGATTCGAGTTCGCCATAACAACATGACCGGTCGATGGCTTACCAAGCTTCACGCGGCTTGGGATCCCAAACGACCGAAACACTTTGTGCTCGGCTGCTTGGATCAGCCACGACGAATCCAGATCTTTCGTGCCGGCCGTCATCGTCCCGTCCGTGAGCTGATGAGCGACAATTTTGCTTCTGTGCACTCAATCAATGCTTTTCACCCTCACCTGGAGCTGATTGCGGGTGGTAACTCTTCAGGCCGGCTTGCACTTTGGCGTGGCAAGAGAAACGCGAGAGATGACGATGTCAAAGCCGAAGTCAAAAGCCACATTTGTGTGAAGACTGAGTGAGGCGACTTCATCCAGCAATCTCGCTGGTTGTATTCAGTGACAACTAATAAACATCCAGCAGTGTTATTCTACTCTTCACTTGTATTGCTGTCACGAGTTTCCATCGGCAGTATCCTTCTCTTCGCCGCCAGCTTAGGTACTAACTCCACTTTGTTCCTTCGTGAGTGATTTCTCGTACATTCCTGTCAGCCCACAACCACAAAGCGCAGTCAACACTGCGGCAAGAACATTTTACATCAGAAGGCGTTGCTCGTACCTTCTCTTCGAAGCTCTGTGTGCCTCCCTTGAACATGTTCAAAGCGAGCGAGGAGCGCACTTGCATTAATGCGAGAAGCATCTGGTGCAGACTCATCCATACTTGACGCAATCAAAGGCGGTTCTCCACTCTTTTGTAGTCGATGTGAGTCGTCATTCAAGTTTATGTGGCCGATAGCTGTAGTCATGCTTGTCACACTCGCGAGCCGGTCCCGCAGCACCCGGAAGGCGGCACTTTGAGGTAGCAGCATTAGCAGCCCGTACAGACTCTTCACCAGATTCGTGTGATAGTCTTCCTGAATTTCAAGAAGCTGCAGTCGCATGTGAATGAAGATTGGTGATTCCAGCAGCTGCACGAGTTTATCGATTTGCATGAGGAACCCGACGGACGCGTCAATGTCCGCAAACTTGCTGATAAGTGCTGCCGATAGTGTGTAAGATTGGGCCAGTAAACAAAGGCTGAATGCTGCGATAGGATTGTGACACCACGACCGGAACAGCGCCGTGAACACTTTGACGTCGTCTTCCGATGCGCGGGGTTGGAAACTGCGACGTAAGACATCACGAAGGTGTTCCAGCTCGTTTGCGGTCAGCAATATGAGGTTCAGCGTTTGCACCATGACTGCAGCAAACTCGCTGTCAGCTTGACTATTAAGGTAGACAGCTTCTGTGCCAAGCACCTTGGCAAAAATGAGGTAAATGCTCTTCGAGTCCAACAACACACACAGCTTTCGCACGATCATGCTGCCACGCACCTCGAGCAAACGTCGATCTTGTGCAAAAAGCAGCAAGATCGCATTAAGCACTTTCTCAAACTCGAACTTGTTGAGCGAAATGCGAGCAAGCACTTCCAAGTCCAGCAACACCACACTGTCGGAGATATCCGACAGTGTCCGAAGCAGGGCGGGTAGCAGTTGGCCAATATGTGCGGAAAGCTGGTTAGGATACTTTTCAAGTAGCATTGAAATCCAACGCAATGCTGCCATCCGCGTAGGCACATGATCGCTACTAAGCTCCAACGTGAGTTTCTGCATGAGCGGCAGCAGTTCCACGTCTTCTGCTGTTGACTTTACTAGCTGTAGCAAGTCGTCATTGGCGCGCTCAGCCACCTGTCGAATCTCATGCTCTGCGTCTGAGATGCAGTGCATAATGGCAGCCAGTAGATCAGCGTAAAACTCCACAAGCTTCTCGCGCCCTAGGTTGACAAACTCGTGCACCCAGCTCACAGCGGTCAGTCGATTGAACCGCTCTTTGCTGTTGCACTGCCCAACAAGGATATCCACCATGCGTCCAAACTCGACATCTTCTGTCTGCTTAATTTCCCGCAAAAACTCTGCCAATGCACTATCCGCTGCCTGTCGAATCTCACGATTGCCGTCACTCAACATGTTGAACAAACCGTCCAAAAACTCAGGCAGCCAATCCAGCATATCAATATCCGGCACAGAATCCAAGACCGTGATCCAGCCGACCAAGAGCTGTCGAATGTACGGATTCGTCATGCGAATGTACTTGTGCAACAGCGGGATAAACACATCGACGTCAAAGTACTCGCTTTCCGTCACAATGTCCTTCACCAATCGGTCAAGTAAGTTCGCGCCGTTTTTCACGTCAACGTCGACGTCAGCAAACAATTTGCACAACCCATCAAAAATTGGATTAAAGTACTGCAAAATATGTCCTCTCGCGACTTTAGCAATGTTGTACAGCGACTCGCACGCGTAGTAGCGCACGCGACTTTCCGGGTCATCAAAGCAGTGCAATACTGGAGGTAGTAGTTTGTCCAAATACAAGTGCGCGTCATGCATAAGGCCAATGGCCGTCGCAGCGAGGCCAATCAAGCCTCCTTTGCGATGATTGGCGTTCGACGAGCACGCAAAGTCATTGCCCAAGAGCTCAATAATAGCCGGAATCCGCTGCCGACTAGGATTCAAAGCAGCTGCAGCAGCTGCTTCAGTTGCTGCTGCAGAAGCCGTAGCAGCTACCGACGACACGCCGTCAAAACTGTCGCTCTCCGTGCCGGATGCAGCTGACAATGGCTCAGTAATGGTCCGGGCAAGGGGCGAGTCGTACTGCACGTGGAGCTGCTGCTGGTGTTGCTGGTGGAACTCGATCGACGCGGCGTTCTCCTGCAGCTGCTTGATCAGGTTCTCCAGCTCCATTGCCGCGCCTTTACGCTTGTCGTAGGACCGGTCGCCTAAGTTGCGCAACAACGTCGGGGTTAGCGGCAGCTGGACGGGGAACTCCGTCGCGTCGAGCGCGTCACTGCCGCCACTGCCGCTTCCAAAACCGAACGGCATGGCAGCGGCAGCAGCAGCAGCTGCTTGGGTGAGTGCGGACTGCGGTAACATGGGCGACGCGTCCGTCGAGTAGGAGCTCATGACGTCGGCGCGATTGGGTGAGGAGTTTGGTTGTTGTGGTACATAAAGGACACATGAAATATAGACGACGAGGAGGGATACAATAGTTACCAGCGCGAAGGAAAGCGGGGAATGTTTATGTGCTGTTGGTGTGGGAAGGGGGGAGTAGGAGGACAAAGAGCGCGCAGTTATTGGACGATACACTGAGTTTTTCTTTTCTTGGAGGAGGGAGGGCGTCGTTCTAGTATGAGAGAATTATGGTGTTTAGCGACTGCAGTCACATGTGTGAATCTCAGGTCCACTTCGTGTGCTACAAGTACCAGTTGTGTGTATGCTATAATCTTTTAACGTATCCTGTAGAAGGTTCGGTTGCACTTTTGTGACTAAGACCACAGGAGACGCTAGACGCCGAAAAGTCGACTCTGTTACTAAGTTTTATAGAGCGGTAATCAAAAACGGTGAGACTGTATAGCAGGGCTGGCACCATGTGTTTCCTATAGCGGAGCTACTTAGCGCTCGTTAAAAGAGAAGTCTTGGACTCAAAGAGTCTCTTTGTTCTAACAAACTAGTAACGACGTATAGTCGTTCAAGCGTACAAGCTTAACAATCCTGGTTCCGAAGAAAATACGATTCACCGAATCACACGCTAACTTTTCGCTACTAGTTGAACCAGAGTGAACGCCTTGACAAGGCTTATACTCTTAACAACACACTATGCCTTGACTAGGCACTTGTGTCAGACGATTCATTAGAGGATTCGAGCTTTATTTTTTATCTACGGTAATAAAACTGTAACGGGGTGAATCGTTACATAACAATTTATAAGAAATTGTTAATAGAATATAACTATAAGAGTTATATTCTCAGAATATTGTCATAAGGACAAATATTCTGTAGCACTTACAAGTAGTTCCTAATTGGTTGATATAGGCCATTATATCAACCAACGAAGACGCGCCACGACAGACGCACGCAATGAGTGGTGAGCAGATAACTGATTTACACATTTGTATTTAGACATAGTAAGATGAAGATAAATAGTGATTTATTGCAGACATTAACTATTATAAATACAGCTCTACTTTTTACTCTAACCAAGTACTCGCTTCTTCATACCGTCTTCCTCTGCACGTACGAGTGTACGTGAAGTTACGAGGCACCGCCTTATTCTGTTATCAGAATAAGTAGCTTGTACTGTCACCAGTACAAGCTTCAGGGTGCCCCGTTACACCTGGTAGCACTTCGTAGTCCGTCCAAGGACCACGTTCACATCCAACATGAATATGTTGGATGATGAAGATGACCAAAGCTTTCACGCTACGCGTGACGGCTACTCCCATTTGAGCGATGTCGAATGGGATGCGGTTGAACGAATGGGTTCGACCATGGGCATTCATGCTGTTAGCGTCATGCTAGAGGCTCTCAATAGAGATGCCCAACATGCTACTATCGCCAAGTTCATTCAAAATGAACTTGACGCTGAACGCGAGAAAGTAGCCTTGCTTCACCAACAAGGTTCTCAACAAGCAGAGTTGTTGAGAGAACAGGGTGCTCAACAGTTTGAACTATTGAGACAGCAGCAGGCTGCTGCTGGCGGGTTGATGCACTCGCGTCGACCCGAGACCTTGAAGATTGACATCTCCAAGTATAGGGGAGTCGAAGAGGACTCCCTCTTGAGATGGTTCGTCGAATTGGATGACGCCATAAGGGCGCGTCGTATCGACGACGGGGATATGCAAGTTGCATTTGCCCAGTCAAATCTGGCAGGACGTGCCAAGACTTGGGCACTGGGGCTCAAGTTGCACGACCCGTATGCGTTTGGGTCGTTGGAAGTCTTCAAGTCGCGGCTCAGACAAACGTTTGAACCGCCTAGAGCTGAGTTCATGGCTCGAACCGAACTCTTGAAGCTCAAGCAGGGTAAGCGTGATGTGCACGCTTACGCTCAACATATACGACATCCCACGAGTTGTATAAGTTCCAATCCGGTGGATGAACACACGTTGGTTTCGGTGTTCATGCAGGGTCTTGCGGATGGTCCCGTCAAGACTCACCTGTTCCGGCTTGAACTAGATTCACTAGAACAAGCCATTTTCATTGCGGAGCAGGAAGACTTCAGTCTGAGACAGGCTCGCGCCAGCTCGACATCGTATCGTCAACCGAGACGATATGACAACGGAGGTCCAGAGCCGATGGAACTCTGTTATGTAGAGAGCGAGAAGGTTCGCTCTACAGGCTACAAGAAGTTGCAGAGATGCAACAGATGTCAAAAGACAGGACACTACGCTTACGAGTGTAGTGCCGCTCGTCCAGTGTCTCGCGACACTGGGCGTAGTGACCGTCCACCCATGAGAAAGGGGCAGGGACGAGGGTCCGCAGTTGGTGCAAAGACGCAACAACGGGATGGACCGTCAAAAAAACGGACAGGATCAGTAGGTGCGGAGCACCCTACTGGTCTAGCAACGTCAAGAGAATTTGTAGGCCTCTTGATGAAGGTTGCTCCCAACACACAAACGTTGTGCGTTGCTGCTCTAGGTAATGAGGTCTCACTCATTACCTTGAAACTCGAAGTGACGAATAAGTTGTCCCTTCGAGCTCTAGTCGATTGTGGGGCGTCCAACAATTTTTGTGCGACGCCAATCGCTAGAAGATGGTCACTTTAAATTCAGTGAATGTGACACACCTCCTACGAGGATGACGGTACGTCTTGCGACAGGCGCATCCGTAACCGTCATGAAGTGTATAGTGAAGATCCACTATACGCTAGAAGATACCCAATATGACGATGACTTTATCGTATTGGATTTGGATGACAAATTTGATGTCATCCTTGGAATACCGTGGCTCAGAAGGTACGAACCACGGGTAAACTGGCAACATCGGACAGTAACGATGCCTGCCGCTTGTTCATCAGATGGCCATCTGATGAACGTTTTGGAGCGTCCACAAGCGTGTGGATGTACTACGAGTGAGTGCGATGGCCTCACTTGTGGTACGGTCGTTAGTACGACTGCACAAAACCTTAGTGTACCAAACGGTTACACTTCGGAGCAAAGTTCCGGCGGCTGTGAGGAAACACAGGCTGCGCCGAAGGTCCACCACTCGAATAAGCCGAGTGGACCGGGACAAAGATGTATCCCTAGCGGGGAACATCTAGAAGAGAAACAATCGATCGCTCAGGTTAAGCGAAACGATAATCCTAGATCGACTGGAGAGTCTTTCGTAGAGGATCTCGCTGTGGTTGCGCAACCCCAGCTAGAGGAAGTAAAGGGAATAAGTCCCAAGATTACAAATACGGCGGAAATAAGTTCCCCGAAACCCGCGGGAATGAGTCCCCGGGAAGACGAAGGAATAAGTCCTTCGAAGCCTGAGGGAATAAGTCCCCAGGAAATGACAGAGACATTGAATGTCATAGTCAATAACGGATCAAGTGTAGGCGCTTATACACTTGATCTGATTGCGCCTCCGAAGTTAACTTCGGAGATCACTCAGTTGCCAACGCTCGAACATAAAAGGTTCTTGCGTGATATGCGTAGTGCCAAAGTCAAGCAGATCTGCATACTCGTCGCTGACGACGAGTGTGTAACCGACATAAGGTCAGCAACAGTGTTTACTGAGAACGAGAGAGTTCTCAGTAGTTCATCTATGGACGAGAGTGTCCTAGATGAAAAGACACGAGTTGAGCGATATGACTCCCAATCATGGGAATCGCTCAAGACAAATCCTCTCTATGAAGATTTGGTTGAATTCAAGGATGTATTCCCTGAAACTGTTCCGTGCGAATTACCGAAGGATAAAGGTATTCGACACGAGGTCGAGCTTAAGCCAGGCTCGAAGTACTGTGTCACGAAGCAGTGGACACTGCCTCGTGAACAAGTACTTGCGATCGACAAGTTCTTTGCCGATCGTTTAGCTGCCAGGCCATGTGAGGGAATCGACCTCCCCACATAGCTCTCCGACCTTCTGTGTGCGAAAAGCAACAGGGGGTTGTGGATTGGGCATGCATTGAACAAGTTGAATGCTGCAACGGTACCGGCTCAGACGCCTATACCGAGGAAGGACGTAATCATTGATGGTATGTCAAAGAGTAACATCTTTTCGTCCATGGATTTGATGGATGGCTTCTATCAAGTCCTTTATGCGGGAACGGGATATACCCTATACCGCAGTTAGCACGCCTAGCGGCATGCTCTGGGAATGGCTAGTAATGCCACAAGGGCTCAGTAATGCCCCTGCCACGTTCAACAGATGTGCATCACATCTGTCGAGACCAGTACGAGAATTCGCGCCGAGTTATTTCGATGACGCTTTCATCCATAGTCGAGCTATGGATGGAAAGTCGGACGTTGAGGTTCACAGGTACCACGTCCGACAAGTTCTTACAATCATGCGAAAGCATCAATTGTAAGCAAACCTCAAGAAGTGTATATTTGCAGCAAGCAAAATACCACTTCTTGGGTGCATCGTTGGTAAGAACGGTGTACGTCCTGATCCCGAAAAGATCAAGGCGATCACCGACTGGCCTGTACCGGTCGATGTCAAAGGTCTTCGAAAATTCCTTGGGCTAGCGGCGTATTTGCATAAGTATTCACGCAACTACGCCGAGATGACTGTGCACCTCTCTCGTTTGTTGAAAAAGAACGAGAGGTGGTTATGGAACGCTGAATGTCAACGCTCCTTTGAGGGTATCAAGCAGAGCTTGATACAATCCCCAGTCCTAGCAATAGCCGATCAGGACAGGCCATTTCATGTGGTCTGTGATGCCAGCGATTTAGCAATCGGCTGTGCATTAATGCAGTACGATCTTGAAGGCGTTGAACGCGTTCGTCTGCTATCAGTCGCGTCAGCTGCAACCAGCTGAGCGGAACTATCCAGTGCATGACAAGGAACTCCTTGCCATGAAGTATGCACTCGCGAAGTTCAGAGTCTATTCTATTAGGAGATAGACCCTTCATTGTTACCATACACTGACCATGCGTCATTACGCACGGCAGTGAACAGCCCGCACCTTTCACAACGAATGGCGCGGTGGTTGTCATTCTTTGCGGAATACAACTTTACGGTCGAGTACAAACCAGGACGACTTAATGTCGTCGCTGATGCACTCTCACGTCGTCCCGACTTTGAAACAGTCGCGAAACCCAACAGTGAGACAGTCACTGTTGCGGTTGTGACGTCCTCAGTTCCATCGTACCAACGTTGTATGATGATGTGAGGCGGGTATACGCCCAAGATGGTGAGATAGTGAAGTTGTTGACACATCTCTCCCAACCATCTCGAGAATTTGAATCTCTCCCACCATCTCGAACGTTGAAACGATTGTCGTCTGCGTATCGATCTGCATCAGATCGATACACTACTCGTAAAGGTTTACTGTATTATACAGCCGTTTCTGGTGACACACCACGTGTTGTCATTCCAGATGATACTGATCTGCGTTTGCGGATCATGTTCGATGACGTCACTATGCTAGGAGGACATCGTGGCCGAGAGAAAACATATCTCACGGTAAGTCGAGACTTTTACTGGCCCCGCCAGTATATCGGTGCGAAAGTATGTTCGCGCATGCGGAGTCTGTCAACGAGTGAAGTCAAGTCCTTCACTGCGTGCACCTTTACAGCCTCTACCGGTTCCGGCTGAGTGCTGGGAATCCATATCAATGGATTTCGTCTTCGGGTTACCCAAAGACGCACGCGGGAATACGGGTATTCTCGTATTTGTTGACAGATTCAGCAAAATGGTACACCTTGTGGCTGTACCAGAGACAATCACGGCAAGTGGCTGTGCTTGTGTCTTTATTGACACCATCCTTCTACTTCATGGGTTGCCCCGTGAACTCGTATCAGACAGAGATCCACGATTCACTGCTGATTTCTGGCGTTCCGTGTTCAAATCACTCGGAACGCGCTTGAAGATGTCGACATCGGATCATCCAGAGTCATTTGGTCAGACGGAACGTGCCAATCGTGTCCTTGAAGAGATACTTCGAGGATACGTACAATCCTTTAAGAGTTGGAGTGAGTTTTTGCCAATGGTAGAGTTTGCCATCAACAACTCGGTGCATGCGTCCACGACACATACACCGTTTTACGTGAATGGCTTGCGCCATCCGCGTGTACCCACCTTACTAGAGTGTAACTCTGGTTTAAGGGGGGGAGGGACTCGCGCGAGCAAAAACCGATTTGGTTCACGCTCATCACGCTCTGACGAAGAAGTCATTGCGTTTGATGCCGATATCGATAACATCGATATCGAAGAAGATGATGCCAGTGAGAGTGCGGAAGCCCTCACTGAAGACAATGATCCCAGCGAGAGTGCGGAAGCCCTCACTGAAGAAAAGGTTGATGTTGCTGCAGTGCGCTCACAGCACACTGAAGCTAACGAGTCATCAGATGAGTTCATACTGGCTCGTGAAACGGTAGTCCGTTTTGTGCAAGACTCCATCGCCGAAGCGGTGGATAAGCAAAAGCAAAACGCTGACAAGAATGGAAGGGCAAACACTCTTTTATTTAACAAAGGTGACTTAGTCCTACTGTCTACGGTCAATATACCAAAGCATGTAGTGACTAACTTGGGTAGCAGTAAACTACTACCCAAGTACATTGGCCCATTTCGTGTATTGCACCGCCTAGGCAATGCATACACGATCGAGTTACCACGTAAGATGCGAACGCATCCCACGTTTTACGTTGGTCGGCTTAAGCCGTACCATCAGTACGCTGCTTCTTCCGATGAAGAACGCCCTTGCGCTCAAGCACCTCGCAGAGAGCCTTGTGCTCCCGATGGTGGGTATCAACAAGGGTCTGAAGAGCAGCTATCTCAGCCCGAGACCGATCAGCAATCCCACGAGCTACCCTTAGCTCGTCACGAAGAGATGTCAGAGATCTCTCGTTCTCGAGCTGAGCAAAGGCAAACTCAGCTCGATGCTTCAAGGCAGTGTCCGCCATTTGGAGACGCCTATTCCGCTCATGCTCGAGATCGTCGCGTAACCCTTGCGTTACGCGATCAAAGAAGCTCTCGGGAACACACCGATCCACATGATCGTGTGGAGAGCGTCTTTCCTCCTCCTCCACCTCCATTAGAGGACTATCGCGGTGGCCAGCGCTATCTAGTTGAGCAGCTGTTGAACCACCGTGACGTGAACGGACGTCGGACGAGTTATCTCGTCCGGTGGCGCGGCTATCCCCCGTCCTGGGATTCTTGGGAGCCCCGCTCCCAACTGATGATCGACGTACTGGGTATGGTCGTGCAGTACGACGCGGCACATCCTGTGCCGCAGAAGGACCGCCGGAGAAAGTCTTCCCGGCACGGTCGTAAACGGATTTCAGGTTGTCAATCACTTCGTACATCTCAGTAGAGACACGTACGCGCCACCACGGGCTGGTAAGGAGGTAAGCCTCCTTAGGTGCTCGTGCAGAGTTGTTCACACAACATGGGCACGAGTCGCCCCAAGAGAGGCAGGGTAATCCTTTCTCCCTTGACAGACGATGCAGCTTGTAGCGTGCACCTGTCGGGGTTCGCTTTTCACACTTATCACGAGCTTTGATAAGTTTGTCGTTCCAAGCGTCACGACCTACATCCTCGAGGTTATGGATGTAGGCGTTCCACGCCTGAAGTAGTGAGGGACCATCACGTTTGTTATTTCCACTGTACCATCGATGTCTAAGAAAGCATCGATGAAGAATTCATTTTCAGCGCGATAGTTTTTCGCGCTGGGGTCAAGGTGATGGATCCTTGACGAATCGAACAATCGTGTTCGATAACGATCACTCGTCGTCGCCGACAAGTGATCCATGACGGATTTTGGAGGCATCCATGCCTTCTTTTCTGGAGCGAGACGCAAGTCATTGCGGTCCCGCTCTTCCTGCGACGTGCCGACAGAAGTACTGGCACCTCGCTGTGAAGTGGTGTCCATAGGAGAACCGACACCACTATTAGCGCCCGAGTCTCGCGACCTCGAGCGCCTTCGCTTCGGCGATGGTTCATCTGATTCGTCAGATGAACCAAAGATGCTGCGACGCAAAGCATCGTCCATGCCACGCTTGGCAGGCGGCTTGGATTCAATCGCCGTCGATAATGATCCGTCATCCGTATCAGGAGAGTACGAGACACCGAGCTCGTACTCTGTGAAGACACGAGTGTCTTCATGACCAGCGCCTGCATCACCAAGTGACACAGGCTGGGTCGCTTCAGCAACCGATGAGACATCAGTTGCTGTGGTTTCTGCTTCGGCGTCCGCACAGAGACGTGCAGACGCGCTCTCGGCGGCCTTGCTCGCGCATCGCATGGGCTTGTTAACCATGCGATGAGATGTTGGAAAGTGGACGCGGACCAACAAGTGCAAACCCTGTCCCAAATGATTTGGGACGAGTATCCATTTAGTCAATCAGTCACTAAAGTGACTGATGGTTAAGGGGGGGTGATGTAACGGGGTGAATCGTTACATAATAATTTATCAGAAATTGTTAATAGAATATAACTATAAGAGTTATATTCTCAGAATATTGTCATAAGGACAAATATTCTGTAGCACTTACAAGTAGTTCCTAATTGGTTGATATAGGCCATTATATCAACCAACGAAGACGCGCCACGACAGACGCACGCAATGAGTGGTGAGCAGATAACTGATTTACACATTTGTATTTAGACATAGTAAGATGAAGATAAATAGTGATTTATTGCAGACATTAACTATTATAAATACAGCTCTACTTTTTACTCTAACCAAGTACTCGCTTCTTCTTACCGTCTTCCTCTGCACGTACGAGTGTACGTGAAGTTACGAGGCACCGCCTTATTCTGTTATCAGAATAAGTAGCTTGTACTGTCACCAGTACAAGCTTAAGGGTGCCCCGTTACACTTGTAACTTACCGGAGTCGCTTAATGTGATGGAAAAGTAACGGTATATGACCATCAGTCACGGTCACTGGCTGTGATGATCGGTCACGGTCACTATGGATGACCATCGGTCATGGTCACATACTATGACCAGCGATCATGATCACTGTAGAAGACCATAGGTCACGATCACCGACTGTGACCATCTGGTCGTATTTGTGGTTGGGGTGGGTCAGTTCAAGGCCAAGGAATGAATGGAAGGGTCAAAAGACGTAACATTGACTGAGATGTAGAGAAGCATAAGCTTAGTTCTAGCTTTTATCAAGCTACTAAGGAACAGTATTGATTTCCATACAAGAGAAGCGTGTCTGCAACCCTCCGGACTGGAACACTAGCAGCTACCCGACGATCAAGGTTTACTGCTAACGTGTTTGTTCAAGGTTCGTCCTAGATTGATAGGCTAAGGACAAGGATACTCATTCAAGTTAGTCCACGATCGGAAGAGGCAAGCATATAAAGGCAAAGTCTTCAGACGGCCCAAGTGATCAGAAGAACAATGTGATCAAGTTGTAAGAAGAACAAGGGGATCAAGTATCCACATTTGGGCAAGCCGATCTCAAGGAAGGTCAGGGCGACGCTGGAGAGCGCTTAAAGTAAATGTTGATCGTCTGAATAATTCCCACGCGACCACACCCCACCTATTTCTAACTCGGTCAAGACAGACACCGAACTCAAGCCAGTTAATGGAGTTCAACTCGCCCACCTACGGGTACAAAAGGTGAAAAGGAACAAGACGAGACTCACGGTCCAAATTATCCCTTCCGTTGGTCGGTCGTCCGGGCGCCAGTGGTAATTTAGGATCGCTTCACAAAATGAGAGAGCCCCACTTCACCACACTAAGCACGGCTTATTTGATAGTTTGTCATTTCCAGACGCGTCGACTGCATAGGAATTCTTCTATGGTGACTTGCACGATGTTATTGAGTTGATGAGCTAGAAGGTGTAACCGAAGATGTGACCGACGAGGAAAACACTGTACATGATGACAGTTTGAAACTTTTGCTGACATGACAGGTCCATCGCCAACTGCTGATTCGGAGCATGCATTGTGGATACAGACGCCTTTCATTATACGTAGTCATAAGCAAGATCCCTCCGGCATGAATTTTCATCAGATGTGTTGTTTTTTGCAACCGGTCGGGCCACTCTACATAGAAAATTCTACATTGTGGAATCATAATAAAACCGGTTGAAAACTGGTTGAGTAGACAATAACTCGTGAAAAGGTGAGCAGCAGGTCAAAACATAAAACGCTGGTAATAAGTGGTAATGACGCTAAAAACTTGATAAAAAGTGCTGATAGCTGATACTAAGTCACAAGACTTTTTACCTAAAATCCCTAATGTCACGCAGAAATACAATGTAGCAAGGCTGGACTACTTTGGGCCGATAAATTTTTGGCGAGTCAATCGGTTTTTTAAGAGATCAGCAAGTTGCTTTAAATGTCGTTTCGTTGTTTGTTTTGGGTTGAGGCATTTATGCAGCTTTAGTTTAATGTCACCGCAATCACGAACTTGGTCCACTGAGTGCCAATGGTCATCACTCGTGTTTCATTAATGAAACGTGGGGCTCGTCGTCTACAGGAAACTCGATCAGGAAGTCTGCTAGCTGTAAGTAGTTGCCCCTCGTCGTTCCCGCTTCGACAAATCACGAGAGTTGAGGTGTACCTTGGCACTTTCGACCTTGTTATGGGGATTATTCAGAGTCCTTTAGTGCATGCATCCAGCACTCTTGGCTTGTAGTGGAGACGCATCATCAGGAAACCAATCATATCTGCGCTAGCAAAGCGACCGCGTTTCGGTTCCAGCGCCGCACTTCCATTTTAGTATCATCATCAACGACCATAAAAAAGTCCAACATGGCGACCTGCATGCTCAGTGCTGAAGTGGAGGATGTCTTCGTTGAATGTGATCGACACGGTTATCAAACTGGCTTAAATAGTGCGATTGAGACATAGTAGTAAGTCTGCCCAGAAGTTGCTAATCTTTTTAATACATTATCGATTGATCATGTCTGTTGGTTTTCTTGCAATTGCAGGTATCGGCGGCCAGCCAGATCGTGCGTGCGTGATAACACGATTATCGGGAAAAACCCTGATAAAGCCCGATTTTGGAAGATCACAGGCTGTCAGGTTTTAACAAACAACATAAAACCTGATTGTGAAAACCTGTAACGGGGTTACACGGCGGTTATTGAACCGGTTATGTTGTGTGTCCACACCAAGTAAAGATCGGTGGATCTGAGTGGTACAGTACTGGTTCAATGTACGTACGGTAATACCGCACTTGTTCGTTTAGGGAAAGGGATTAGACTTCAGTCACTAGATCACAATACAGAAGTCAACCAGACGAGGTTTTAGGGTTTTTGTAACGGGGCACCCTTAAGCTTGTACTGGTGACAGTACAAGCTACTTATTCTGATGACAGAATAAGGCGGTGCCTCGTAACTTCACGTACACTCGTACGTGCAGAGGAAGACGGTAAGAAGAAGCGAGTACTTGGTTAGAGTAAAAAGTAGAGCTGTATTTATAATAGTTAATGTCTGCAATAAATCACTATTTATCTTCATCTTACTATGTCTAAATACAAATGTGTAAATCAGTTATCTGCTCACCACTCATTGCGTGCGTCTGTCGTGGCGCGTCTTCGTTGGTTGATATAATGGCCTATATCAACCAATTAGGAACTACTTGTAAGTGCTACAGAATATTTGTCCTTATGACAATATTCTGAGAATATAACTCTTATAGTTATATTCTATTAACAATTTCTGATAAATTGTTATGTAACGATTCACCCCGTTACATCACCCCCCCCTTAACCATCAGTCACTTTAGTGACTGATTGACTAAATGGATACTCGTCCCAAATCATTTGGGACAGGGTTTGCACTTGTTGGTCCGCGTCCACTTTCCAACATTTCATCGCATGGTTAACAAGCCCATGCGATGCGCGAGCAAGGCCGCCGAGAGCGCGTCTGCACGTCTCTGTGCGGACGCCGAAGCAGAAACCACAGCAACTGATGTCCCATCGGTTGCTGAAGCGACCCAGCCTGTGTCACTTGGTGATGCAGGCGCTGGTCATGAAGACACTCGTGTCTTCACAGAGTACGAGCTCGGTGTCTCGTACTCTCCTGATACGGATGACGGATCCGTATCGACGGCAATTGAATCCAAGCCGCCTGCCAAGCGTGGCATGGACGATGCTTTGCGTCGCAGCATCTTTGGTTCATCTGACGAATCAGATGAACCATCGCCGAAGCGAAGGCGCTCGAGGTCGCGAGACTCGGGCGCTAATAGTGGTGTCGGTTCTCCTATGGACACCACTTCACAGCGAGGTGCCAGTACTTCTGTCGGCACGTCGCAGGAAGAGCGGGACCGCAATGACTTGCGTCTCGCTCCAGAAAAGAAGGCATGGATGCCTCCTAAATCCGTCATGGATCACTTGTCGGCGACGACGAGTGATCGTTATCGAACACGATTGTTCGATTCGTCAAGGATCCATCACCTTGACCCCAGCGCGAAAGACTATCGCGCTGAAAATGAATTCTTCATCGATGCTTTCTCCAGACATCGATGGTACAGTGGGAATAACAACGTGATGGTCCCTCACTACTTCAGGCGTGGAACGCCTACATCCATAACCTCGAGGATGTAGGTCGTGACGCTTGGAACGACAAACTTATCAAAGCTCGTGATAAGTTTGAAAAGCGAACCCCGACAGGTGCACGCTACAAGCTGCATCGTCTGTCAAGGGAGAAAGGATTACCCTGCCTCTCTTGGGGCGACTCGTGCCCATGTTGTGTGAACAACTCTGTACGAGCACCTAAGGAGGCTTACCTCCTTACCAGCCCGTGGTGGCGCGTACGTGTCTCTACTGAGATGTACGAAGTGATTGACAACCTGAAATCCCTTTACGACCGTGCCGGGAAGACTTTCTCCGGCGGTCCTTCTGCGGCACAGGATGTGCCGCGTCGTACTGCACGACCATACCCAGTACGTCAACCATCAATTGGGAGCGGGGCTCCCAAGAATCCCAGGACGGGGGATAGCCGCGCCACCGGACGAGATAACTCGTCCGACGTCCGTTCACGTCACGGTGGTTCAACAGCTGCTCAACTAGATAACGCTGGCCACCGCGAGAGTCCTCTAATGGAGGTGGAGGAGGAGGAAAGACGCTCTCCACACGATCATGTGGATCGGTGTGTTCCCGAGAGCTTCTTTGATCGCGTAACGCAAGGGTTACGCGACGATCTCGAGCATGAGCGGAATAGGCGTCTCCAAATGGCGGACACTGCCTTGAAGCATCGAGCTGAGTTTGCCTTTGCTCAGCTCGAGAACGAGAGATCTCTGACATCTCTTCGTGACGAGCTAAGGGTAGCTCGTGGGATTGTTGATCGGTCTCGGGCTGAGATAACTGCTCTTCAGACCCTTGTTGATACCCACCATCGGGAGCACAAGGCTCTCTGCGAGATGCTTGAGCGCAAGGGCGTTCTTCATCGGAAGAAGCAGCGTACTGATGGTACGGCTTAAGCCGACCAACGTAAAACGTGGGATGCGTTCGCATCTTACGTGGTAACTCGATCGTGTATGCATTGCCTAGGCGGTGCAATACACGAAATGGGCCAATGTACTTGGGTAGTAGTTTACTGCTACCCAAGTTAGTCACTACATGCTTTGGTAGATTAACCGTAGACAGTAGGACTAAGTCACCTTTGTTAAATAAAAGAGTGTTTGCCCTTCCATTCTTGTCAGCGTTTTGCTTTTGCTTGTCCACCGCTTCGGCGATGGAGTCTTGCACAAAACGGACTACCGTTTCACGAGCCAGTATGAACTCATCTGATGACTCGTTAGCTTCAGTGTGCTGTGAGCGCACTGCAGCAACATCAACCTTTTCTTCAGTGAGGGCTTCCGCACTCTCGCTGGGATCATTGTCTTCAGTGAGGGCTTCCGCACTCTCACTGGCATCATCTTCTTCGATATCGATGTTATCGATATCGGCATCAAACGCAATGACTTCTTCGTCAGAGCGTGATGAGCGTGAACCAAATCGGTTTTTGCTCGCGCGAGTCCCTCCCCCCTTAAACCAGAGTTACACTCTAGTAAGGTGGGTACACGCGGATGGCGTAAGCCATTCACGTAAAACGGTGTATGTGTCGTGGACGCATGCACCGAGTTGTTGATGGCAAACTCTACCATTGGCAAAAACTCACTCCAACTCTTAAAGGAGTGTACGTATCCTCGAAGTATCTCTTCAAGGACACGATTGGCACGTTCCGTCTGACCATCTGACTCTGGATGATCAGATGTTGACATCTTCAAGCGCGTTCCGAGTGATTTGAACACGGACCGCCAGAAATCAGCAGTGAATCGTGGATCTCTGTCTGATACGAGTTCACGGGGCACCCATGAAGTCGGAAGATGGTGTCAATGAAGACACAAGCACAGCCACTTGCCGTGATTGTCTCTGGTACAGCCACAAGGTGTACCATTTTGCTGAATCTGTCAACAAATACGAGAATACCCGTATTCCCGCGTGCGTCTTTGGGTAACCCGAAGACGAAATCCATTGAGATGGATTCCCAGCACTCAGCCGGAACCGGTAGAGGCTGTAAAGGTGCACGCAGTGAAGGACTTGACTTCACTCGTTGGCAGACTTCGCATGCGCGAACATACTTTCGCACAAACTGATACTGGCGGGGCCAGTAAAAGTCTCGACTTACCGTGAGATATGTTTTCTCTCGGCCACGATGTCCTCCTATAGGAGCATCGTGATACTCGAACATGATCCGCAAACGCAGATCAGTATCATCTGGAATGACAACGCGTGGTGTGTCACCAGAAACGGCTGTATAATACAGTAAACCGTTACGAGTAGTGTATCGATCTGATGCAGATCGATACGCAGACGACAATCGTTTCAACGATTCTCGAGATGGTTGGGAGAGATGTGACAACAACTTCACTATCTCACCATCTTGGGCGTATGCCCGCCTCACATCATCATACAACATTGTAGATGGAACTGAGGACGTCACAACCGCAACAGTGACTGTCTCACTGTTGGGTTTCGCGACTGTTTCAAAGTCGGGACGACGTGAGAGTGCATCAGCGACGACATTAAGTCGTCCTGGTTTGTACTCGACCGTAAAGTTGTATTCCGCAAAGAATGACAACCACCGCGCCATTCGTTGTGAAAGGTGCGGGCTGTTCACTGCCGTGCGTAATGACGCATGGTCAGTGTAAACAATGAAGGGTCTATCTCCTAATAGATAGACTCTGAACTTCGCGAGTGCATACTTCATGGCAAGGAGTTCCTTGTCATGCACTGGATAGTTCCGCTCAGCTGGTTGCAGCTGACGCGACTGATAGCAGACGACGCGTTCAACGCCTTCAAGATCGTACTGCATTAATGCACAGCCGATTGCTAAATCGCTGGCATCACAGACCACATGAAATGGCCTGTCCTGATCGGCTATTGCTAGGACTGGGGATTGTATCAAGCTCTGCTTGATACCCTCAAAGGAGCGTTGACATTCAGCGTTCCATAACCACCTCTCGTTCTTTTTCAACAAACGAGAGAGGTGCACAGTCATCTCGGCGTAATTGCGTGAATACTTATGCAAATACGCCGCTAGCCCAAGGAATTTTCGAAGACCTTTGACATCGACCGGCACAGGCCAGTCGGTGATCGCCTTGATCTTTTCGGGATCAGGACGTACACCGTTCTTACCAACGATGCACCCAAGAAGTGGTATTTTGCTTGCTGCAAATATACACTTCTTGAGGTTTGCTTACAATTGATGCTTTCGCATGATTGTAAGAACTTGTCGGACGTGGTACCTGTGAACCTCAACGTCCGACTTTCCATCCATAGCTCGACTATGGATGAAAGCGTCATCGAAATAACTCGGCGCGAATTCTCGTACTGGTCTCGACAGATGTGATGCACATCTGTTGAACGTGGCAGGGGCATTACTGAGCCCTTGTGGCATTACTAGCCATTCCCAGAGCATGCCGCTAGGCGTGCTAACTGCGGTATAGGGTATATCCCGTTCCCGCATAAAGGACTTGATAGAAGCCATCCATCAAATCCATGGACGAAAAGATGTTACTCTTTGACATACCATCAATGATTACGTCCTTCCTCGGTATAGGCGTCTGAGCCGGTACCGTTGCAGCATTCAACTTGTTCAATGCATGCCCAATCCACAACCCCCTGTTGCTTTTCGCACACAGAAGGTCGGAGAGCTATGTGGGGAGGTCGATTCCCTCACATGGCCCGCAGCTAAACGATCGGCAAAGAACTTGTCGATCGCAAGTACTTGTTCACGAGGCAGTGTCCACTGCTTCGTGACACAGTACTTCGAGCCTGGCTTAAGCTCGACCTCGTGTCGAATACCTTTATCCTTCGGTAATTCGCACGGAACAGTTTCAGGGAATACATCCTTGAATTCAACCAAATCTTCATAGAGAGGATTTGTCTTGAGCGATTCCCATGATTGGGAGTCATATCGCTCAACTCGTGTCTTTTCATCTAGGACACTCTCGTCCATAGATGAACTACTGAGAACTCTCTCGTTCTCAGTAAACACTGTTGCTGACCTTATGTCGGTTACACACTCGTCGTCAGCGACGAGTATGCAGATCTGCTTGACTTTGGCACTACGCATATCACGCAAGAACCTTTTATGTTCGAGCGTTGGCAACTGAGTGATCTCCGAAGTTAACTTCGGAGGCGCAATCAGATCAAGTGTATAAGCGCCTACACTTGATCCGTTATTGACTATGACATTCAATGTCTCTGTCATTTCCTGGGGACTTATTCCCTCAGGCTTCGAAGGACTTATTCCTTCGTCTTCCCGGGGACTTATTCCCGCGGGTTTCGGGGAACTTATTTCCGCCGTATTTGTAATCTTGGGACTTATTCCCTTTACTTCCTCTAGCTGGGGTTGCGCAACCACAGCGAGATCCTCTACGAAAGACTCTCCAGTCGATCTAGGATTATAGTTTCGCTTAACCTGAGCGATCGATTGTTTCTCTTCTAGATGTTCCCCTCTAGGGATACATCTTTGTCCCAGTCCACCCGACTTATTCGAGTGGTGGACCTTCGGCGCAGCCTGTGTTTCCTCACAGCCGCCGGAACTTTGCTCCGAAGTGTAACCGTTTGGTACACTAAGGTTTTGTGCAGTCGTACTAACGACCGTACCACAAGTGAGGCCATCGCACTCACTCGTAGTACATCCACACGCTTGTGGACGCTCCAAAACGTTCATCAGATGGCCATCTGATGAACAAGCTGCAGGCATCGTTACTGTCCGATGTTGCCAGTTTACCCGTGGTTCGTACCTTCTGAGCCACGGTATTCCAAGGATGACATCAAATTTGTCATCCAAATCAAATACGATAAAGTCATCGTCATATTGGGTATCTTCTAGCGTATAGTGGATCTTCACTATACGCTTCATGACGGTTACGGATGCGCCTGTCGCAAGACGTACCGTCATCCTCGTAGGAGGTGTGTCACATTCACTGAATTTAAAGTGACCATCTTCTAGCGATTGGCGTCGCACAAAATTGTTGGACGCCCCACAATCGACTAGAGCTCGAAGGGACAACTTATTCGTCACTTCGAGTTTCAAGGTAATGAGTGAGATCTCATTACCTAGAGCAGCAACGCACAACGTTTGTGTGTTGGGAGCAACCTTCATCAAGAGGCCTACAAATTCTCTTGACGTTGCTGGATCAGTAGGGTGCTCCGCACCTACTGATCCTGTCCGTTTTTTGACGGTCCATCCCGTTGTTGCGTCTTTGCACCAACTGCGGACCCTCATCCCTGCCCCTTTCTCATGGGTGGACGGTCACTACGCCCAGTGTCGCGAGACACTGGACGAGGGGCACTACACTCGTAAGCGTAGTGTCCTGTCTTTTGACACCTGTTGCATCTCTGCAACTTCTTGTAGCCTGTATAGCGAACCTTCTCGCTCTCTACGTAACAGAGTTCCATCGGCTCTGGACCTCCGTTGTCATATCGTCTCGGTTGACGATACGATGTCGAGCTGGCGCGAGCCTGTCTCAGACTGAAGTCTTCCTGCTCCGCAATGGAAATGGCTTGTTCTAGTGAATCTAGTTCAAGCCGGAACAGGTGAGTCTTGACGGGACCATCCGCAAGACCCTGCATGAACACCGAAACCAACGTGTGTTCATCCACTGGATTGGAACTTATACAACTCGTAAGATGTCGTATGTGTTGAGCGTAAGCGTGCACATCACGCTTACCCTGCTTGAGCTTCAAGAGTTCGGTTCGAGCCCTGAACTCAGCTCTAGGCGGTTCAAACGTTTGTCTGAGCCGCGACTTGAAGACTTCCAACGACCCAAACGCATATGGGTCGTGCAGCTTGAGCCCCAGTGCCCAAGTCTTGGCACGTCCTGCCAGATTTGACTGGGCAAATGCAACTTGCATATCCCCGTCGTCGATGCGACGCGCCCTTATGGCGTCATCCAATTCGACGAACCATCTCAAGAGGGAGTCCTCTTCGACTCCCCTATACTTTGAGATGTCAATCTTCAAAGTCTCGGGTCGACGCGAGTGCATCGACCCGCCAGCAGCAGCCTGCTGCTGTCTCAATAGTTCAAACTGTTGAGCACCTTGTTCTCTCAACAACTCTGCTTGTTGAGAACCTTGTTGGTGAAGCAAGGCTACTTTCTCGCGTTCTGCGTCAAGTTCATTTTGAATGAACTTGGCGATAGTAGCATGTTGGGCATCTCTATTGAGAGCCTCTAGCATGACGCTAACAGCATGGATGCCCATGGTCGAACCCATTCGTTCAACCGCATCCCATTCGACATCGCTCAAATGGGAGTAGCCGTCACGCGTAGCGTGAAAGCTTTGGTCATCTTCATCATCCAACATATTCATGTTGGATGTGAACGCGGTCCTTGGACGGACTACGAAGTGCTACCAGGTGTAACGGGGCACCCTGAAGCTTGTACTGGTGACAGTACAAGCTACTTATTCTGATGTCAGAATAAGGCGGTGCCTCGTAACTTCACGTACACTCGTACGTGCAGAGGAAGACGGTAAGAAGAAGCGAGTACTTGGTTAGAGTAAAAAGTAGAGCTGTATTTATAATAGTTAATGTCTGCAATAAATCACTATTTATCTTCATCTTACTATGTCTAAATACAAATGTGTAAATCAGTTATCTGCTCACCACTCATTGCGTGCGTCTGTCGTGGCGCGTCTTCGTTGGTTGATATAATGGCCTATATCAACCAATTAGGAACTACTTGTAAGTGCTACAGAATATTTGTCCTTATGACAATATTCTGAGAATATAACTCTTATAGTTATATTCTATTAACAATTTCTGATAAATTGTTATGTAACGATTCACCCCGTTACAACAAGGCCGTCGTGCCCCACACATGTACCCATGGCATGAAAAGATGCACTTGGTCAGGATTCCTCCCGACCACTCAACCATATAGATTAGACTGACTATTATCTTCCTTGTACTGCAAATTCATGCTTACCGAGCAGTATCTGCTTCCAGCGCATCTACTTCTTCGTCCTCCAGCAAATCATTTGAAAACGGCACTGACTGATCAGGTGCAAGCACCAGATTCTGATACGCTACCCTAAATTGGTCATTTGATCGGGCGTGGTAGAACATTCTGATTCGCCCTGTGTTTTCACGTGTCGAAATGCCTAGGCGATATCTGCTCTTGGTGGGCGTTGCAGCAATCGATTCACATCACCTTTTGTACCGTGCATTATGTGGGAAATAGCTCGTCACCGTAAGTGCCAAGTTCGCAATCTTCGGTGGCATCGGACTTTAGACCGCTTCAGAAAAGATCTTGCTGCTTAACAAGACACGAAGCTTAGACCGCTTCGTCTTCGGCGACGAAAATTTCTCTGCAACAAAAACACATTAAGTCAAGTACATAAAGTTATTGAATACACGCTCACCCTTTCGTGTGTATTCAAACCATTGCTCGCAGAAGAAATCCACGATACATTCAGGAGAGAGACCATTATATCGCTTCACCCCCAAACGCGTGCACGCCGCATCCCTGCTGGCGACACTCCCGCTCCACAGAGACGGTAGTCGAGGATCCAGCACACAATGAGGTTATCATCAATCCATGTGATTCACCTTTTGCGGAACGCTTCGAGGAACTTGTCTTGTTCTTCAGCCGGCATCTTTGCGTTTTTGCTGATCTGCGGGAAAAGCCAATTTCACGAAGCATGGATCTGACCGGAGGACACAACGTCGGTCTCGATCAAGGCTTGGAGATGATGGACCGGACGCATAAACTCATCCGGTACGATCAAACTGTCCCATAACGCGGGTGACGTGGAGGGTATCAGGTCAGGGTAGCAAACTTAAGTAACCAAAAGATAAAAATAAATACGGTAGTTTGCTAATCAATCCATACTAAAGTAGGTTTACGATGCGCAACAAGCAGGATCTCACCTAGTAGCAGTTTCCAGACCGCGGATCTGCCTTACAGTGATGCCAAAGGAGTACCAACGGGTTGCAGATAACGCCTTTTCCGAAATGCGGTCCATCTTTGCATCATTTGCAATAATCTCACGGACTGCAGTCGAAACTCGAATTTTACGAGCAATCTTCATGGCCTGCTGCATTACGTCCTGAAACGTTGGGACCTTAAAACTGCTTTAGTCAGAAGGTTTGATTGATGAGCTGGACACGGGCCAATCAGAAGCATTGTCCATTTACTAGAGTCAAACAAACGCATTTTCCAACACTTAAATAAACAAAAAGGTAATTATTCAATGATTGATGCCTTACTCTTGTACAACGCGGCAAAACTTCCAGTAAGGTCCGCCACTGTCCGTAGTGATGCCATGGAGTATGGCTTCAAACCTTTCCTTTAAAAGCTTGACTGCAGCCTTGTAACACTTCAATACCAGTCTGGGTGACCGATGATGCAGAAAGTAAGAAAAGGCGATTCTTTCGTTTGTCATCAACCGCGATCCAGGCGCAACATCTGGAAACAATACAATCGCTTCTTTAATTTCAAGTTAGTCAACGCAAAACATTTTATCACTCTTGGTTTGTTACATTCTGCCAATAGTCAAAACTTTTTGTGATTAATGATGCTTTTTTGAAAACCAAAGTGTCGAGTGGTCGTAGTCGCGTCCAGTTCGTTGAGAAGGGGACTGGCAATATGCTGTCGAGTTGGAGAGATACATAATGGCCGAAACGTCTTGAAACATCATAGAAGAACGGATTCCTGGTGAATGAAACCAGCGTGAGCAGATTGTTGGCTTTAGCAACCTCTTGGATCGAGAGAGAGTGGGTCTCAAAATGAAAGTTAACGTACACATGGCACGCTGGCATTTCTGCTGTGAAGTGCGTGCGGAGAGGCTTTCGGCAGGGATCCCATCATCCGACTCAACTCCGGCCCGAGAACCTTGCTTTCTTCCCAACCGGTTGCTGACAAGGCTGTCAGCCTTAGATTTCGTCTCATCCAGAGCATCTATGCACGACTGTGTAACACCGTTTATCAAAATATCGCAAATAAGCAGCAGCAAACCGCAGAATACCCGTGCGACGTGAACCTCAATGCGTTTTTCCTGTGGTTCCAATCCAAGTGAACGGTAGTTGCACTTGGCTTTGACTTGCCATCAGCAATTTCCACCTTTTCGTGGAACTCCCATCCCGGAAGAAAAGGTCGTCCGAACGTGGGCATACTGAATCCGCAAATCGCAAAGAATGTGTGTTAGTTATTAGCATTATAGAGACGGCATGTATGGAGTCTCTGGCTGGAACAGTACGTCTTGCGTACTAGTTGCGTTAACAGCAGTAGACAATTCCTACCTGATGTCAACTCTCCATTCAGTTTTGTGCTAGATGGCAACGGGCGGTGGGGTAGTTGCGTTGCAACCAGCTATTTTTATGTTTATGGTACTTACTGGTAATCGATCAACATTGTTCAAAAAAAGTCTCTTAAAAATGACCCATGCTTTTAGCATTATTAACGCTGGTAAAAAGTATAATTTATCAACAGAGACTTTCACCTAACGTTCCTACGTGACATGAGCGATGTATTGCTATTCGACAGATGTATCGAACATCCAGGCAGGCAGGCAGCCGTTTACAATTACGCAGACAAAGAATCGAAACATATCATAAACCTGCCAGTAGCATCAAAATACCTCCTCTATCCGCTCGACAGAGTCCACCACCAACCTCTATCCTTGTCGACACCAATCCCGTACATTATCATCCACAGCCTTGTGCTGTTCGTAGTACGTCTGAGCAGCCGTTGCAATCGGACCTCCTCCATAGCAAAGTCCATCACCCCGATACAGCACGAGCGCCTGTTCGGGTGTCACGCCACGTTGTGGATTATCAAAGTCTACCCGCAAGTAGCTGCCTTCCCCTCGCTCGTCCTGTAGTACCAGTTGATCGCTCTGCCAGTCATGAAGTTTGCTGGCACTTGCTCGAGCTTCGTGGCTAGAGACGAGCGATACCGTGCACTCGTCCAGGTCTTGACGATAGCGGACCCGGTAGAAACAGCGGAGACGACCATTTTCACAAAGCTCTGGAGGCAACTGTCCGGCCATCCAGTTAAACTGCGCTGCTGAAGCAAAGAGGGTGTCCGAGAAGAGAGCCGGATGTCGTGTCCCCTCGACGATAGTCACGGAATGGTCGCGTTTGTGCTTCCCGACTACAAACCATTTGGCACTCATGCCTTGCACACGCGCACCTTGACCCACCGTATAAGCCGTAAAGCCTTGATGGGGTTGCATTCGAACCCCCTCGACGGTGTGAAAATACCCGTCTTGCCGTGGAACGTACTGATGAATAAAGTCAGCAAAGTTGCGCTTGCCAATGAAGCAGATCCCCACTGAGTCCTTCTTTGTTGCCGTGCAGAGACCTTCGTGAGCTGCTAGACGACGCACGTCGGTCTTAAGCATGTCTCCTAATGGAAACAGCACGTTTGCAAACGCTCGGCCATTCACACTTGACAAGAAATAGCTCTGGTCTTTCAACCGGTCTTTTGCGGCAAAAAGATTTAGACCTCCATTCTCCTGCACTGGACGTAGAGCTGCGTAGTGACCCGTAGCAACATAATCTGCACCGATGGTCTTGGCATACTCGGTAAAGGCCTTGAACTTGATCTCACGGTTGCACAGGATGTCTGGATTCGGGGTCAACCCTTCTGCGTAATTCTCGAGACAAGGCGCAAACACTTGGTTCCAGTACGACTGCACCAGGTTTACCTACACCAAGTGCCATCGCATGAGTACAACTGTCTTTCAGACTCATCAAAGAATCAATCACAACACGCACAGTCAAAAACGAACCCGCTTGGCTTCAATCCCGAGATGGTCGCAGACTTTCTGTACATCGGCATATTCCGAGTCCATGGGACACACTGCACCCCCTTCTTCATCACTTGAATCCCAATTCTGCATGTAAACCCCAGTGACCTTGTACCCCTGACGTTTTAGCAGCAGCGCCGCCACAGACGAGTCGACTCCACCGGACATTCCCACCACCACATGTTTCTTGCCGCAGTCCAAGTGCGATGGCGGTTGACTGGAGGTACTCGACCATTGTCTTGTTGATACTGTTTCAAAGCATTCTGATACCTTGACGAGTGTTTGGCATTGTCCACGTCGAGCTGGAGCCAAAATGAAGCGTGGCAATGAGCGGTACAACATGATGGACCTGACGGCTGCTGTCCACCAATGATTTCGAAGAATGATGGGGTGTAGCCATATGTCAAAATGACTGACTGACTGACTGACTCTGCATTGAGTAGTTAAGCGTTACCACGGGTACAGTCCAATGAGACGAGACCCCAGAGCCGAGAATGGGTGCACGGAATAGTCTTCAGTGACACAAGCATCGAGATCGTCTTTTTGCCAATGGTCAGAAGGAAGGAAGCGTGCCTTGTACCGACGTAGCTGTTCTTGCGCGTATGTGCGATTCATGGCTGTGTCTGGAAGAAATCCAGTGTAGATGACCTCGCGCGGGATCGTCCCGATGTGCTTGTAGCTGTTTGCGTGTGGAATGCGCCAGTCGAAGAAGATCACACTACCAGCTTCACAGCCAATGTGCCGGTAGCGGTCAATCACAGCACGGTCTTCTTGCATTCGCAGCGGAGAAAAATCACCAAGACAGACCTGCGGACGACATGAAGAGGTGGGTGACAAGGTCTTGTTTTCCACAGTATCTAGCTCTTGTCGGGTGGCTGCGTACGCAGCGAATTCCTTGTGAAAACCAGGTACAGCTTCGAATCCACCCGTGCTAGGCTCCGTGTTATTGGTGAGCACCGTAATGCACTGAATAGGTCGCCAGCGAGGTATGCTCTTGCCTGACTCGTACATCTTGGACGGACAGCAATCCCAGTGCGGCGTCAGGGACCGCTGCATTGGCCGCGACTTTTTCGTAGCTGCAAACTTCGTAGAAAGCGCATCTGGCACGCGGTAGCACACTCGGTTAATGTACATGTATCCCTGTTTGCTGTTAAAAGCTCCGAATGGATGCTGGAAGTCCGGATGATTTTGTGCGTACGTCGCTTGCCACAAATCCGTCATGGCTGCAAAGGTTTTTTCGTGCTCAGCGACCTTAAGTCTCCACGACGGATAGAAAAGGTCGAGGATACCGCCGGCACCACCTGTACTTGACAGCTTTTTCAGATTGTCGCCGGTCTCCGGTAAATTCTCGTGGTCCTATCCATCATATCACAGCACAAACACGTCTTATTACGTCACTATTCGACTCAGCGCAGCACATACCAAATCAACACAAATCGACGCAAATCGACGCAAAAACACAATGGTACAAATCGATCGAAAATAAACTGCAAGACAAACTTACCACACCGTACTTGGCCAACTCACTGTGTAGTCCTTGACGCGCTTCTGTGACTTCCCCGGGCGTGAGGACATTAGGCACCACGAGCACGCCTTGCTGTACGAATTCCTGGATCTGTTCGTCCGTCAGAAATCGCCCAACCACCGTCGCAGCGGCCTTATCCCCACATATTTCCTGGTCCATAGCTTAGTTCCTAGATCACGCCTACCCAAATTGCTCCGGCACTCTAGCTGACAACATCATAGGTTGGATCCTATCCAGCATCCTATCCTATATTTTACAAATCCCCTTCAAGCTTTGTACCGTATCAGATAAATAAAACAATAAAAATCATTACAATGCTGCGTAATGTGCTCATAATGGCGTCCAGTGGCATCGTCCTCTTCTCGAAGGAGTACGCAAACGCCGTTGCCCAGGTGCTTTTTCTCCACGATATCTCTAGCTGTCGACCGAACACCCTGCAAAAATTGACTCTAAATTCGTCGTGGGCTACTTCTGAATCAAGCTAAACCGTTTTGTTCGTATCCCGTAAATTATTCTGCTTTTCTCCGATAGCCTCGACTCGTCGGCTCCCTAATCACGGCTATGCTCGAATTTTCCGATAAAGCGATTGGGGCTCCAGTCTCGTACATCCAAATGTCTTTCGGTGAGTTGATTGATTATTCGCCTGTGTACTAAGTAGCTGGCGACAAAACTGAATGTTGTTGCTCATATTTCGCTTGCTTTGTTGTTATTGGGTGGCTATTGCAGTGGCTGTGACTGTGGTCACCAATGACCAGCACAAGGTTTTCTGTGCCGTGTTTCACGATACAACAGACGGTGCAAGGTTCTCCGCGTTCGTGGCGCAAGAATTGCTGGCAGCGTTTATTGCGCAGCATGGAGATGAATTGGGCAACGTGGGCCACAATTTGCGGGACTTTCACCGCTTTCAGTACCAAATTCTTGGTGTCATCCGCGACTCCGTCAAGCCTATTGTCCGAAAATGTGCGTACATTGTGGTGGTGTAACTTGCTGGTTGAGCGAGTTTTTATTTTGATTGAGTGGCGACTGAGGACAGTTTTTGTTGTCGGTGATGGGACCTCAGTGCAAAAACAACGCGGCATTCTGAAAGCAATGCTTGTGGTAGACGGCGCAGTGACGTGCGCGACAGGAGATGTCGATCCGATTGGCGTGTTGGCGAATCTACAAGCGCTCGTGAACAGCTCGATCGATATGAGTGCGTTGAACGAGTCAAACGGGTTGTTTGGTTGACGTGCAGTCGCGCTTCGTGCAGTCACGCTTACGTTTTGCCTCGTTGTTGTTGTTTAGTGTCATTTTCAGGTGATGATGTAAACGCCATGACGATTCAGAGCGGACGCAACTCGTGCATACAAGTCAGCGTCGTCGATGGCAACGATGTGTTGGTCGTTGTTTTCAAAAAGGGTGCACAAGCTACAAAGAACACGGCAGCGATTGAAGAGTGTGTTCGAGCGCTACGGCACGGTACGAAAAGCTCTCGATTTTTGGATGCACTAGTAGTGTTGCTATTATCTATTAACTTCTTCGTCGTATTGTGTTTACCGTGTGTGCTTCTTCCCAACTTGACTGTGGCATTCTGTAGTGTGCGTATTAGCACGCACGTTGCAACAAAATTCTCGGTGATAAAGGTCGGATCCGGTTGCGAACCCGGTATCTCAACACAGCGTAGCTACACACTTTAGCCTGAATGGCTTGCGTACCAGTACTCTATTTCTACTCTAATGAATATCAAGTTGTTGCGCGTTCAGTATACTCTCTCGATCCGTTCTTTTACACGAGCAAGTGAACGGACGGATTGCTCTTGTGCCGCTGCGTAGTTGTCATGACTCAATTTTTGAGCTCTTTCATTATGTCTTCTTCCTCGTCTGCTGACCAACGACTCCGACTTAAACTCATTCCACAAAACGAGCATCAAGGCACCGCCCACAATACGCACATGTTACTATAGGCACACGCTTTCAACAGAACATTGCGTGGAAAAGAGGAAGCTCCGATCAAAACTTAATGAACGAAGTTCCTCGCTCGATGCCATATTCGGACTCCCGATGTACGAAATGTAAAGGTACAAGAAACAAACTCAACACCAAACCAGTAATCAGTTTAGTGTGATATAGTCAAGTCTGTCCTCACACGGCGCACATCCTCAGCCAACCACGATTCGAGATGTCACAATATCTCTCGCGCCGATCCTAGTTTATGTTTCGGAAGACAAGATAGTGACAAAACACTAGCTCGAGATTGTTTCAACAATAAAACGTGCACGAGTAGTCACTTGACAGGTTGGAGTTGACTGGAGATCGGCTAGTTGTCGAGCTTGCCGTATCTTAGTGGTGTCTTGTCCAGCTAGATTTTCCTGAGCGTTTTATACCCTAGTAGCTGTACTTGGCTGCTGCTGCTTGTTTACAACCAAAGAGAAGAAGTCACTTTAATTTATAGAGATGACAGTAAGCACATGACGGTTGGGCGAACGACTTGTGTGCATCCTTTGCTATGATTGTAAGGATACGTGATGCAATAGGCGGACAATAACTGTCGGTGGATGAGACGTTGTTCAATTTGGTCTAAGTAGGGAGACTTCTGTGCAATGTGGTGATGTCGATGGGTTGGAGCAGTCTTTGGATGTAGAGATATGGGTTTGCGATTCGTACAATCCGAGTCATTTGCTGCAATTTGGACTCGAAACTGACGACTCCAATGGTACGTCGACGACATTATAGACATGGAATTGACGTCGTAATGATGCTGAGGCTCATTTCTTGTACAATAATTGTTGCTTTTCGCGGAGCTTATGCCAAAGAGGCACGAGTGCTACCAATTTTGACAGGAACGACTGATTGCTAGCGAGTGCGAGCTGATCGTCGTCATAAAGGGAGCACGACAACGGAGCAAAATTGGTTGCGCAGGCGGAAATGATGAGGCGTGGTCAGCTGATTTGCGGATGCAACGACAACACTGTACGAGCAAAGTCAGCTTATCATCGTTTGAGTTAACCTTCGTAACGCCCTAGCTTTTCTAAGCTTTGCTAGAATAATTTCACAGCATTAAGGAAGCTTGCCCTCACGTGTCATTGATTACGATGATGATCTACCGGAACTCACACCATCTTTTGGCGACGCCCCCTCCCTGATCCCCAACACTGCTGTGACGCAGTGATGCAATGCGCGATATTGTCGGCGTTTGGTGCTTTTGGCCTGACGTGGCGTGACTTTTATTCTGCCAGGTTGATGTATTGAATGATCGCTCGTCCTTGGTAGCACATACGAGAAAGGGAAATTCAATCTGCAGTCGTCCACGGGAGCAGTGGTTTTGTTCATTCGAGTAGCTTTCCGGTCATGTGCCCTTTCATCACACATGTAAATGTCTTTATATACATTTATATGTACATATTTCTATTTACAGCAGAGCTCAGCATGGTTCGCCATGCTCGAAACGATTCTTGCTACACTAGGCATTGGATGCGCTTGTGCTCGATGCACGACTGCCACGCCAGTACAAAAAAAGGCCGGGTGTGTTTCCGAAATCCATCATGCTAAGCCTAATCTCGACGGCGTAGTCTTGCTGATCGATGCATAACTCTTGCGAGTAAAGTTCTTGCTTGGAGGGGGTCTCTGAATACGCTATTGCTGTTTGGTTCACTCCTCACACGCACCACATTCAACCCGTCAATGGGTCCGTATGTGCCTCTCCTCGTTCTAGCGCACATCACGTGCCTGGATGTGGCTCGCGTTGATCCGCATGCTAAATTGAATGGTACTCATCATGCCAAAATCTGGACAGAAGCGCCCTTCAGCGAATAAATGCCCGAATAGGTTTGGCTCCGCAGGCGGTCGCAACGACAAAAAGTTTTCCAGCATTCTGTCCACATCGATAAAAAGCAAGTCCTCTTGCTGCAACGGCTGACTGTGCAACCACCACCAATCAACGTCATACGACCATACTTTTTTGCGCTTTGGCTTTCCCTCTCCACACCAAAAAAGTCTAGAGCTGGAAATGATAGACCTGCAAGCATACCTGATAGTAGAGACTCGCCACAACTCTTCAGCAATCTCCGGTGTTACATCTCGAGTCCACACTCTCCATCTGTTGACTTGCTAGTTTCAAATCTAGTGGTCGTCCGTACAAAATGCCTGAACGCAATTGGTCAGCTACCACTTGCTGGTGAAGATCTCCTCATTTTTCAAGCGGTCTTTCTAATTGATCGATATCCTATAAAAACGTGAGACCTCGGCAATTCGAGCATTGCTTGGATTAGTTGACCCGTTTGTCGACCGCAAGGATCGCACATCAGAACTTCAGTAAAAATTAGTCTGAGCTTCCAATGTTTGTCAAAAGCTTGGCAGATTGTAAAAGGATAGTAGTGCATGGGCATGCTCGAGACAGCACTTGACATCAAAAGCCTCGGCTGGACGATCGACGTGGTGTATGAGGTTCCTTGAGACTGCACTGCCGACAAATAATTGGATAATGAGCAGAGCTTATTTCTGGCACCAATCATGTCAATGATCTACACAATGTATGGGAACAGTAGCACATGGATTGTACCGTATGAGTACGCCACACGTGAACGTAGCAGTAGAGGAAAAAATGATCGGCAAGAGATAGTTCTTGATCTGTGTAGTGTTAAAAAGGGGTGGATTCTTAGAGTCAGTGGGTCGCCCAAATTCAAGTAGATTACCTAAACTAATGAATAGCTTGACAGAAGAATGGTCTCGTGCTGCTACCCCCTCGAATAGTTGCAAAGGCCACCGACAAAAAATGATGGCCGCTTGAGCTTCTGTTGTGTGATGCAAAATGCAAAGTGAACATTTAAGAAATGAGTTCGCAATCTATTTTGCTACTCAAAGCCTACTAGATCTTTCGACTATAAATTCCTAATCGCTATGTGGCGCATAAGCCATCGTATAGTCGCGCACTTCTAGTCGCCACATCGCACATTAATAATCGCCACGTCACGCATTACTAAACATTACATCGCACGTTAGTAACCGCCACGTCGCGCATTACTAATCTTCGCTCAGTTGCCGGTGCGCTTCTTTTAAAACACATTCCACTCGACTCGGCAGCAACAGCGATAGTAATGCCGAGTTTGGTCCGGTGAGTGAACATAGCGGCACTGCGATCGCCTTTGTCAAGATCTCTGCAAGCATGTCTTGCGTCGGGAAGTACTTTATCATCACTTGATTTTTCTCAACCTTCTCACGCACGAGATGGTAGCGGATGTCGATGTGCTTGATGCGCTTGTGAAACACCGGTTCTTTTCCAACGCAATAGCACCTTGATTATCTTTATACACACTTTACGCGTCATTGCCTGATTCTTCACCGAGTTCACGCATGAACGACTTAAGCCACACTGCCTCTTGGGTCGCTTCCGATAGAGCCATGTAATTTGCTTTAGTCGAAGAGGATACTACGCTGCGCTGATCCAGCTGATGCAGCCGTTGTTAAGCACAAACACGTACCCACCAGTACTACGTCTCATCTCAATGTCGCCAGCCCATTCTGCGTCGGAATAGCCGAGCAACTTGCCATCACCATCTCCGGCAAAAAGAATATCGAGTGTTAGAGTCGCTTTCAGGTACCTTGGTTCGCGCTTAGTTGATGTATATGTGCTGGACAAAGGTCAGCAGCAAACTGGCTTAGCACTCTCACTGAAGCTGTTAGGTCTAGACTCAAGACAATAATAAGGTAAATTACGGCTCCGAAAGCACTCCGGTACGGCACTTTTTTCATGGTGTCCTCATACTTGAATGGTAAACCACGGCTCCGAAAGCACTCCGGTATGGCATATCTCTCCTGGTGTCTTCATACTTTCTTAAAACATACGCTTTTTTAACTTGAGTCTGGAATCTTACAGTTTCTTATCGAGATTGGAGTCTTGAATGCCGAACTTGGTCATGATCGAGCGCAGGAAATAGGTTTGTTTCATCGACAAATCGCCCGACTTGTCATCGTGCTCGAATTCCTTGTTGAGGCAGTACTCGAGCTCACCAAGATCGGACATCTCCAATCGTTCGCTCAATGCACGCTTGGTATCTGCGAGAAGACCCATGTCATTGCACGCAAGGATGAGGTCGTCAACGTAGAGAACTACAAACATCACGACCTTATTGTCACTCTCAACGTAGACGCAGTGGTCCATCTCGCATTTGGTAAAGTCATTCTTGTGTATGAACAAGTCAATAGTTTGATTCCACATGCGTGGCGAATGCTTGAGTTTGTACAGAGTAAGATTAAGCTTGCAAATGTGGTGAGGATAATTGGCATGAACGAAGCCGTCGAGCTGCTCCATGTAAATCTATATTTCAAGCAGACCATTGAGAGTTTCCGTCTTGACATCCATCTGGTACAGCACGAGGATGTGCTGCGCGGAGATGCTCAAAATATTCTTGATTGACTTAAATTTGGTCACCGGAGCAAACGTCTCCTCAAAGTCCACACCGCAAATTTGCAAAAACAAATTCGCCACAAGGCGAGCATTGTACCGCTCAGTGAGACTGTCAATGATTTTCTAATTTGTGAATACCCGCTTTCTACTGATCGCCTGCGACTACTTGGTTTTGACACGAGTTCCCACATCTTGAGTTCTTGCAAAACGATTGAAACTCTGAATCGCACGCTTCTCGCCACTTGCTTGCGTCGTCGGATTCCATCGCCGATGGTAATTTCAATGGAAATTGTTCCACTGAATCACAACGTGAGCACAGTCTTCTCCTTATTCTTCTTTGATTTACGCAAGTAGCGCTGACACGTCTTCAAGTGATGACCAGTTACCCTGTACTGACTTTTTGTTCGCTTGACTTGTACTTACCACGCGTTCATAGCGCTTCTCCACTGGCGGTTCTGGCAGTTTTTCAGTGAGTGTGCCCGTATATAGATCTTAGACCCGGTAATAAATCATCATCCTTCTGCTGCGGATGTTGCGGTGGTCGACCTGTACGTTGCGTTTGCTGCCATTGTGGCCGATCATGAACCGAAACTGGCTTACACGCTTGCTCGTTCAAATAGTCACTGTTGATTCGGCTGTGGTGAACACTGCAGTCTTCATCTCTGTTTACTTCATCACCGGTACTATACTCGGAGCTGTTACTGTCGATTGTCTTAACGTACTTTTCGCTGTCAAAGCTTTTGTAGATCTGGGTGTCACAACTCACTAGGATGCAACTGCTTGATGGCTCTTCAAGCCGATACGCTTCTTTGTGGTCCGAGTATCCCAAGAAGCGACACAATGTCGATCGCGCATCGGGATTCGACCTCTTTTCTTTCGGCTCATGCACGTGCGCGTGGCACCCAAATAAAATTTAGATTTTCAATAACGGTTACTATTGTGTCTACACACCAAGCTTAAAATTATCATTGTAAATCCCTAGCGTTGGGCATAGATTAATTAGGAATGCTGTTGTTGATACTGCTTCACCCCAGTAGCGTTTGTATAGTCTCGCGAGCTCGATCATGCATCGAACGCTCTCGAACAAAAAGTCTTGTTTATCCATTCGGTCACTTCGTTCAGATTAAGCGTGTAAAGCGACGTGAACCGCTGTACGATGCCGTGTTTACGACATAAGCGGCATGGCCTTTTGACGCTTACTCACCACCGTTGTTGCTGCGAAGCACTTTGATGCATCAAACGTTCTGAGTCTCGGAAAACTCGACGAACTGCATCAACTTGTCCATCACTTCTAATTTTATTTGAAGCAGGTAGACCGCACAGAACCGTGGCTTGTTCGTGATGAAAAGCAGTGTTTGCCATAGAATAGCACAGTCTGCATCGGTCCGCACACATCAGAGTGCACGACGTCAAGCAGGTTCTTGGCGGGATGGCTTGAAACTATTTGAAAATTTGCTTTCATCTGCTTTTTGGGTGCACATTCATTGCAAAGCTCTCACTTTCTCACTGATGCAAAGTCTATGCCATTGCCTAGCTTCTGCTTCATGATTGCGTTGAGTCCATCATGGCAAATTTGGCCAAGACGTAGGTACCACACGTACGACTTGCTCATCTGTGGACCCTTGGATTCACTTTCTCAACGCACGCGCTCTCTAATTTCGCACATTTTATGCCTATGTTGAAGAGAATTTTGCCAGCACGCTGGCCGATCTTCCACTTCTGGTTCTCGACATTAGCATAACAAGTATTTGTGTCAAACGTCACTGCCGTGACATCCTTGTTGATTTTGCCAACCAAAAAAGGATTACGTGATAGCTCCAGAACGTGCCACACATAGGTAAGCACTTATTTCTTGGCGCCACTTGGTGTCTTTATCATCATCAATATGTCGCCGCTTTCAATCTCCTGCAACTGCGTCGTCTGCAAGACAAACGTTAACAGTATCGACGGTCTTTTCATTCGTCATGAACTACTTTAAAAACAACATGTGCTGCGTCGCACCAGAGTCGATGAGCCATGCCCAATTCTTGAAGCCGTCGTTGATATTCTTTTTCAACATCAACAATTAAATCATAAGAGTTTCAATCATGATTGTGAGCCACATTCGCACGCTGCGGACGCTGCCGATCCGCATCTTCATGGATCCACGAGAAACCTTCTGTGATCCAATGACCCAATTTTCTGCAGTGGTTGCACACGACAGTAATATTAAATGGCCGTTCACTGCGCCTCTTTCAACCTTCACGAACGATTGACTTACAGAGACCGCTTCTCTGTCTTTCTTCTTGCGCTTTATGTATTCATGTAGGAGCCTAGATGTCAACGAGCTCCCGCGACAGCGATTCGGCACGCGACTCCAACGCCTTGGTCAAGAACTGGTACGACTCCCTTAGGCTACCAAAAAGCGTGATCGACAAGTGTTCCTCGCTGACAGGAGCGCCGACCGCATCGAGCTGCTCCGCCAGAGTCTAGAGCTTGTTGACATGCCCCAGAACATCATCGCCTCCATTTATCATCGTCGTGAAGAAGCGTCGACGAAGAAAGAGCTTGATTATAAGACTCTTCTTCTCGTTGTGCCTTTCTGGTCGTGACTATGCATCCTGCGCTTTAATCGCTGAACGGGCGATTGGCAGCTGCAAATTTTCCAAAGCAAGACAAATGATCGCCAGTAGCTTGCGTGACTTGCCCTTGAATGTTTACTGGTCCAGCACACTGGTCAGATGCTCCATCTTAATCTCCCCACTTGTCACTTCCAGACGCCCCTCCCCTCCAGCACCATCTGCATAATTTACTTCCAATTGTGGAAGTTCGTCCCATCAAACTTGCTGATGCGAGTGCTGGTGGAGGAGGCAATAGATATGTGTTGTAGGCAGGGTCGGCGTCGTCGGCAGAGTCAGTGAAATTTAGGCACATCACCTGTTTTTAAAGGCTTGTGTTGTGAGATAAATAATGCAAAGTGAATATATTTAGGTCCTGAATGCGCAATCTCTTTTGCTCCTCTAAGCCTACTGGATATTTCGACCATACATTCCTAGTCGCTAAATTGCACATTTGTAATTGTCACATCACACAATAGTGATCGTACAGCCTCTCATTTCTAATCCCCGCGTCGCGCATTACTAATTGTCGCTTAGTTGCCGAATCGCTTCTTCGATAACACCGCTACCACATTAACACTGACCGCTACAATTGATCCAGACAAATAAAGCCTAACAGATCGTATAAAAGCTGACATGGAAACAATAGCTTACGTGGTGGGGCATCCAATTTAATGCTGCAACAAGCATTCGACTACATTATTGGAGTCTGAATTTGGATTAGTCCGCGAGTGAAGGCGAGAAAGCAGTACAACCGACCAGGCCCTTTTATCCTAAAGTAGGCCGGATGGGCACACCGACGTGGCTCGGATGTGGACTGATGGGCATTGCCTGATGTGACTTGACTGCTTCGGCGTATTACTACTGAACAAACTGATAGTGGCCATGGCTGACAGGTTGCGATAAAGCGAGGCCTATGCAACGCCGAATAAATGCATTTATTACACTTCATTATTAGACGAGCTGATAAGTTTCGCACATCTTTATACAGCGTAAAGGCGTGGTCACTCAACATATCAGCAGCTCACTTTCATAATAGCCCAATCCCGGTGGTACCTCTAGCAGCATTTACGTTACTCTGTTTACCAAGGCTGGGCAATGCCGATGCCGCCACGATGCTTCACATCAAGATATTGAATATGATGAGCTTGTCAATTATCGTGACGATACGCTACGGTTTTACATTTAAGAAGCGGACAAACTTTGAAATGCCATTGATAAATCTGATCGATTGATGAGAAATCAAACAGCACCCTCAAAAGTTTTCAAGGCCATCTCATAGCCATCGCAGGCGTATCTAAATTATATCGTTCGGTAGACACACCGATCGCCATTTAACATGTGTAGAAGCCCTCAACATATGAGACCCTTCCCCCTCTTCCTCTAAATCTAAAGACCTGTAAAAGGGCTCTAAATATCAAAACCCCTGACCCGATTCGGTGAAAAACTCGGTAGCTCCGTATCGATGAGTTGTCTTGGCTTTACATACGAGACAGCCTGTTTACCGACACGCTATTACAGACACGAGCTCGACGTGGCCGATACGAAACGATCAATTTGAAAGAACATCTAGACAAGAGGAACGCACCACAATCACATGAGACAGCGTACCGTCTATGCACTTGGACCGTTTGACCACACAAAAAGCGACTTGACGAGGAAAGTCTCCACTTTTCGTTAAGAACATAAACCAAAACGAGCTCTTCCCAGCCTCTCAAGTCCCTGAATTCGTTCCTCCCGCTGAAATATGGACCGCTTGACCATTCGTCGTGTCTTTTCAGTCCAGAAGTCTCATATATTGCACCACTCGAGCTCGACGCTTGCAACAGCGGCTCCATCAAGTCAGGACAAAGCGCTATACACGGTCTATAAACAGTGTGTAACCCGTGGCGACGTAACCTTTGACCCCATTCAAGTGCGTGCTGTACAGTACCTGGACGTTTTGTACGACCATGTGATAAATTACAAAGGACCAGATCTGGAATTTTCCAGTGCAAGTTCGGGGTCGTGGGTTTCGTGGTGGCAAAAACTTGCAGGCAAAAAAAACAAGACAGAGCAGACGGGGACGGTGGATGCGCCTAAAGGACTGTATCTCTACGGTGGCGTGGGTTGTGGCAAAACTTTTGTCATGGACATGTTCTTTGATCAAGTGCCTGTGGAACAGAAGCTGCGCGTGCATTTTCACGAGTTCATGTTGGGCATCCATAAACGGATGCATGACCTGCGGCAAGCAGGTTATCGGGAAGATCTGATTCCACATATTGCAGACGAGCTGCTGAAAAAGAGCTGGCTCTTGTGCTTTGATGAGTTTCAAGTGACGGACGTGGCAGATGCGTTGATCTTGCAACGGCTCTTTTCAGCATTGCTGAAGCGAGGAGTTGTTATGGTTGCAACATCCAATCGACCACCTAGTGATCTGTACAAGAATGGACTACAGCGAGAGCTGTTTATGCCGTTCATTGAGTTGATCGGAGAGCGCTGCAATGTCGTGTCGCTGGAAGATTCGACGACGGACTACCGCGTGCTGAAGGGTGCTGTGCATGCTGCTAACGTGTACGACTATCCGATCGCTCGAGACACACGTGCTTCATTTGATTACGAGTTTGTGGCACAGTGTGGGGGAGAAGAAACGGTAGCGACAGATGTGACCACACAAGGACGAAAAGTACACGTTCCCGAAGCTGCTGTGAAAGCTGGAGTGTGCCGCTTTTCGTTTATTGACCTGTGTGAGAAACCGCTGGGTGCGGCAGACTACTTGGCGATTGCTGAAGCTTTTCCCATCGTTTTCGTAAGCGACATTCCTTTACTTGATGCCGAGCGGCTGAATCAACTGCGGCGGTTTATCACATTTGTCGACTGCATGTACGACCGGGGTGTGCGAGTACGTTGTTTTGTGAAGTTATGGTGTCAATGTCCATGTGTCCAGCTGATGTTCACTCACGTGTCAATTGTGTTTGCTAGTTACATTGCCTCGCAGCCGAAAGTCCCGAGCGTCTTTACCAAGTCGACGTTGGCATGAAGTCGCACGTTGACGAAGCCTTTGCATTTGATCGCACGATTTCTCGTTTGCTTGAGGTAAGTGCTTTCTTGCACACGGGGTCTGTTGTCAGCAATGGTGCTCATATTTCCCGATTGCTACAGATGGGGAGTGAGGCGTATTTGCTGGCACATGGCGATCGACAAGCAAACGGCCAGTCTCGCGACCGGTCGTTCTTGGCTTCTGGCAGCACTGGAGCTGCTAATGGGTCCGAGGAAAGGGTAGACGAAGACGAGCGGCTCCAGTTGAGCTGCTAGTGTGGGAATATAGATACCTCGCAGTAAATGCAGTGAGCAAGTGCTTGCGAGTTACATCGGACACAGTGCAACTAAAATAGTCAAGTTGTTAGATTTTGCTAACTTATAGTGCGGTTTTATCGTTCACGAACGTCCTTTTCCATCCAGCTTGGAATTACGTGACTGCTTAGGCTGCACTCAGTGGCGTCCGACGTATTGTGTCAAGGATGACAAATTTTCCCATCAGTTATCGAAGCACCCGACAACTCTCTGGAGTAGAATCAGTGAGGACACAAACATTGTGGGGAATCGACGGATGTCAGAGCTAATGCCAGCTCCTTCATCGGTAATCTTGCCCTAATATTCACAAATGTGATCTCGATCGTAACTGTAAGTAAGATTGTCCAAAGGTAAGTAGTAAAGTCAAGAACTTGTTGCTCAGAAGTCGATAGAAAATAATGAAACCCGGACTGAAGTCCTTCATATGCGTAACACGACCTAGAAAGTCTCTATGAAGTCTCCGCAGCTTTCACTCAGGACAAACTACGATCTCCTCTGTTGCAAATTGCGATGAAAAGTTATTTATACCGACAGTTTTGTACAGATCGGTCATGACGAAGTTTTCTTGGCAGAAAGGCTCGGTCTCTAACTTTGTCCGCTCGTCCCATCCTAATGCAATATTGTCATCAGCGCATACATGTTCTCACGGATTTTGTTCGTGGAATCTATCATGCTGTTCATATTCGACTATTTTGAAAAGCAACTTTTACTAGTTGACATGGTCAAGCCACATGGGAGCAATATGCACACAGGTGAGATATTTGCCATCACTATTGACGAGCAAACTTCACCGATACGAAGTTAGACCTTTCTTTTGTAAATTCCAAACCAGTGACATACTACATACATTTAAGAGCCAACTTCGGTGCCAACCGTGTGCATTTTCGAATGCCACAGGTAATCGGTAAAGTCTAGTGGCATAACAATCTCCTTGATCTTGTAATGACATCTAGCTTTCTCCTCGTTCTTGTTGCAAGTTAGCGTGCTTACGAGCACATCACTTCTTCGAAGATAGGTTGCACCTCTGAAGAAATTGTAGACACCACATTTGGTGCTGCTCACGAGTTTGTCGTCATATCTGCAAAGCAACTTCATCGACTTGTAACGCATCATCTGGACCGAGAATACTTGCCACCATGTTGTTTGTATCGTGGCTCTTTTCTATCCGTTTTTCGTGTCGTAGCGGGTCAAGGCTTGACATTTGCTATAACAATGTGCTGGAAACATCATTATCAAGGTCGAGCGATCAAATGGCGAGCAGGGTGAGCTGACAAGAGTGTCAAACGCTATCGACGATTCTTTCTATCAAATCGAAGTAGCAGTCTTCAGACTAGCATTGTGCCGATATTTGAGCGGGATCGAACGATGAACAATGAACAAGTGACTCAGAGTCAGCACAACCCAGTGAGCTACAAATTTTGGACAAGCCCCTGTCACCCAAAACCCGAATGTCATGCTTGCGTATGGCCCTATTCTCAATGTAAAAGTTTTCGTCACCTTTTTTCTTAGTTCCGTCGTTCCCACAGCCACCGCACAAAGGATCAAGCAGCTATCGATACTGACCGCCGGCGTTTCCATCGACATAAATTGAGGGAGTTGGTAAATAATTCAAATGTATTCACATCTTTTCGTAAACGCAGCGTCATGAATGCACATTTCCAAGCACAACCTGGTCACATCGTATCTAGATGGAGCCGCTGAGTACTATCTGGACGGTCAAGAACACCATGAAAGCAAACGCAGTGGCTGATACCGTCGTGGGAATCGACTTTGTGTCCTCGAGCGACTCGGGCAGTAACTCCTGCACTGCCACGTAAGCCATGGCACCTCCTGCAAATCCTAAACCGCAAGGCAGGATAGGCAGCCATTGCTCAACGAACAAGAAAGCTGGTACAGCAAAGATTGGTTGCGGAGCACTAGACATGATGCACCACAACACGGCGTAAAAGATGCTCAGTCCGCGAGGCACGAGCGACAAACTGATGGCCACACCTTCAGGAATATTGTGAATCGCCATGGTCATAGTAACAATGTGACCACGACGGATACCTCCTTCACCACCGAACGACACGCCGACACCAATCCCTTCCGACACTGAGTGTAGAGTCATGACCGCCATGATCAGCAAAGCCTTCCGTGCATCGATACCCGTTAATCCACACACTGATACATCTTCATAGTCTTCCAGAAAGACCTTGGTGAACTTGATAAACAGCACACCCTAAAAAGGCACCCAAGAGGAGACGATAGGTCACGGACACCTCGTAGTCCACGGCTTGCGGTAGATACCACCCTTCGTAAAACAAACAGCCCGTCGCGGCGATCATCATGCCTGCTGCAAGGCCGTTGCAGATCCCCAGCCAGTACTTGTCCATGTTTCGAATCCAGTAGAACGGCAGGGCCCCGAGACCTGTAGCCACAGCTGTAAGCCAGCCACACCACCAGACGTAGTAGCCATTTTTGCCACCACGACCATGGAAACGATGGTGCATGGGGTGGCTGTAAACAGTGATGAACAGCATGACGAATGCCAGTGCATAGGCACATCTCTTCGTGTTCCCAGACGTCCCGAGCGGACGTTTGTCATCATGTTCCGAGTGCTCTTCCTGCAGCCTTTGGCTCGCTTGCGACACGGCGGCAGCACCTGACGCCTGTTTAGGAGTCGCCCGGTGCTTGACCAGCTCGAGGTCGTTTGCAACGGGGATTCCAACCGTGTCGAGGTCATCGGCTGGAGCTGGAAAGGCTCGACTTGTCTCCATGTGACCTGAAGGGAACAGTGGACAACGAAGGATAGTGACAATGAGGACAAGGAGGGAATAATGACGACACAAGACGTGCGTCGTAGGGACGTGGTAAATTGGGTACTGACTCGACTCAGATTGAGGGTGAGTCTTTGTTGCGAGTGACTCGTGGTATATTAATTTAGAGAGCTCCGATTTAGCTGCGCGTTCGATTGTAGGGGGAGGGGAGTGAGTATGGAGCTGGATTGGTCGGATGACGGGTCAGATGTAGTGGTCGTAAATTCAGTACATGTCGTTCAAGCCGAAGTGGTGGTATGTTCAGCACGGATCTGTTACGATGTGATGTGAAATCTCAGTCAGAATACTGGCGTCCTTGAGTGAGTCACTCATTGTGGTCTTTGGCTGGTCTTCTCCTCGGCATCACCTGCGGCCGGGTAATCATAACGAAAGGTATGTTGTGGACACCACGGAGATGGGATTTTAGCACGTGATGTTCGTAGCCATCTGGCAAACGCCATTCCCCTTTTCATGTGCAGCAAGATCGCCTCTTGTGTGGTGAGCAAGTGTAACATGCACAAGGCAACGCTTCATTGTCCACCATGCCACCAATGCCAAGAGAGAAGCGACTGAACGACTTCTAGTGTATCGACCTGGACACGACCAATATGTTAGAGAACGTGTTCTAGATCTGTTTAGTTGTTGAAAACATTGTCCATATTTGGACGACGGTGGGGTGGCTAAATGAAACAGGTGCTTAAACAATTTCACGAAGTCAGTCACCTTTGCATCTACATGACCGCTTGAGACTTTACAAATTTTGCCCGTTCGTGGCCGACACGGCAATAATTTCCCACAACAAAAAGAAATCGTAGCTTTCTCTTCTGTAAGTAGCACTCTCTTTCCATATTTCACTCGGATAGAGCAATGAGAAGTAAGCATCCCTCCTTAACTATCCATCACTCACACGTGAACGACAGCAGCAAACGCAATATCTACACACTCTTTCCAACCATCTCCAGTCTCCGCTCCTATTGGCCAAAACACTCGTCCATGATCGACAGTACTGACGCGTCGATCGGTCGTACCCCTTGCTTACAATCGCCATCTCAATTATGTCGACACTGACCAGCGCCGATATGGGCGAACTCAAGCGCCCGTCCACGCGCGTCCACGCGCCTCCTGGTGGCGGATCCACTTGGAGCTTCGGTGGGCAATCGCCATCGACAGCATCGACCGACCACCGACGCGTGAATCCGTCTCAGATGCAACAAGCGCAGCCAGATGTACGGATGAAGTCTCCGCGTGCAGCTCCTGCTGCCACTATGGAGACAGCTCCGACCCCTGGTGACGCTCCAGAAGCAGGCCTCCGTGTAGCTCTGGTAAAGACGAGCAGTGACACGGAGCTCGTCGACCGCGTGGTGCAGAACTGCTTTGAGAAGCTCGAGGGTCACTCTGTGAGCTCTGAGACGTTCACAGTGGCGTCTCTAGAGCAACTGCCGTATGCAGCCAACAAATTGACCGAGTTCGGAGGCTTTGATGCCGTCATTTGCTTTGGGTTTCTGAACACGCAGGACGTGCAGTTTCCAGCTGTAAGTACGGCATTGACGCAGAGCTTGGTGGACATTAGTGTCAAGAACGCGCGTCCTGTTGTACGTGCAGTGTTTGTCGGTGAGCCTCGCGTGGCATCCGTCAAGATAAAGGGAGGATGGGGTGCTGAGTTTGCCGACGCTGTGGTGTCGCTAGCAGAGCTCGTCGAGCTCCAAGTAAGTGGAAAAGAGCTACCGAGACCGCCTACCTAATGGTCTTGGTACTTAATGAACCCAAGAGTGCAGCCGCTGAACACTGATATGTGTGTGTTTAACGTAATTGATGTGGTCCTGCAAACTTTGTGTCGTACCCTCTGCAATTGTATTTCCACCAATCCCAATCGAGCAGCGAGGTTCAGACTGCCCTGACGTAGCCATCTCCCCTTTGGCGCCATCTTAGCCACGCAGGATGTCCACCCTCACTAGCGCCGACATGGGCGAGCTCAAGCGCCCGTCAACGCGCGTGCACGCGCCTCCTGGTGGTGGCAGTAGCTGGAGTTTCGGCGGTGACGCGGTGCCAGCTGCAAGAAATCGGAGGCACTTTAATCCGACGCAACCACCGGCGCCACCGCCTGTATCAGAAGCTATCCAGTATCAGACTCAGACTCCGATCGAGACTCAGACAGAGAGTGGATCTTTAGAGCCAGTCACGAAAGTGAGGATCGCGTTGCTCAAGACCAGTCAAGATGCTGAGATTGTGGATCAAGCAGTGCAGAACTGCTTGGACGAGCTCGAGGTCGAGATCCAGTCCCAGGCTGTGAGCTGTCAGACCTTTACGGTCGCGACGCTGGAGCTGCTGCCGTATGCAGCCAATAAAATGACTCGGTCTGGAGCTTTTGACAGCGTCATATGCTTTGGCTTTGTCAACACGCAGGACCCGCTGTTTGCTGCGCTGAATGCGGCGCGGATGCAGAGTCTCATGACGATCAGTGTCAAGAATGTGCGGCCAGTCGTGCAAGCTGTGTTTGTGGGGGAGCCTCGGGTGGCTCTGGTGAAGGTGCGAGGAGGATGGGGAGCTGAGTTTGCTCACGAAATAGTACCGTTGATCAACTTGGGCGGCTTTGTGGGACCTATGGTTCACTCGGCGTCGGGTGCAGTCGTGACCAAGCACTTTGAAGTCAGTCGTGGTAACGTGCTGCCTGCCAAGCTTTTGCGTGGATCACAGACGGTGCAGCAGTCGCTGATTACGTTGAGGAACTCACTGTATGCCCATGGAGCAAAGGGGGTGCGAGAATTGGGACGCAAGTTCCGTATTATCGACGACGATGGCAATCGTTCGCTGTGTGTTGACGAGTTCCAGAAAGCTATTCGTGAACATGCGCTGGAGCTTAGTGGCAAGGAAGTGGACGAGCTGTTTCGCTTTATTGACGCAAACAATTCGGGTGGCGTGGACTATGACGAGTTTTTGCTAGCTGTGCGTGGGGAGCTGAATGATCGACGCACGCAGTTGGTTCTTGCTGCGTTCAAGATTCTTGATCGCGATGGAAGCGGCGTTGTCGACCTGGATGACATCAAAGGCAAGTACAGCGCGAAGGAGCACCCGGACGTGCTTCAAGGTCGTAAGACAGAGGACAAGGTGCTGCTTGAATTTTTAGACACTTTTGATGGCGGCGAGAAAGACGGCAAGGTCCACCCGAGCGAGTTCGTGCGCTACTATGCCAACGTGAGTGCGTCCATTGACGACGACGACTACTTTGAGCTAGTTGTTCGCAACGCTTGGCACATGAGTGGTGGTGAAGGATGGTCGGCCAATACCTCCTGTCGTCGTGTGCTTGTACAGCACGCCGACGGTTCGCATACGATCGAGGAGGTGAAGGACGATCATGGCATCGCTGTCGGTAACGTCGAGGCCATTCGTGCCAACCTCCAAGCACAAGGCATTGACGACATTCGGTCCGTGAGTACAGCGGGCGACGTTCAGACGGATGGCGATACGGCGAACAAGCGCTCGAACGACAGTCTCCACCCGCAGAACGTGCGGAAGAAACAGCATGGAGCCGGCGCGAGCTCCATTATTTTCGGCTGAGCTTGGCACTAGTTGGAAAAAGAGAAGGTAGCGAAATTGCACTAACGAACGTACACAAACGTCAATGAATGCACTCGTGAAGTGGTTTACTCGCGCAAATATCTTGGTTATGCTCTTTATACTGCAATACAATACTGAGCTCGTTACATCAATCTATACTAGTGCAATGAGTTAACCATATCACTACATCTGGGTTTAGTGTGCCTCAACGTGTTGTACTTGTCCTCATTCTGGATCAGAGTATATTAAAGTATGTTGAATTGGCGATCATCAGCACACACAGCTCCCAGCCACACGAACCTTCACATGCAACATGCAATACCCACGTACCTTCCGATACTTGACGGATGTGCATGCAACACACAACGCACCTTCAGCTACTCCAAATCCCGCAGTATCCTGTAATCCACAACGACACACACAACTACAACAGAACTGCAACACTTGAAGGTCATCCAGTCGTATCGCTCTGCACAAACAGATCCCAAAGTCGTATTTCGTAGGGTTCACCCATCCAATTCAACAGTTGTCTCGTTTTCAAGCATACCCCATTACACCTCCAAAGTATGTCTGCATCATCCTGTCAAATGTGTGCAAACTGCTCAGTTTTCCGGAATGTCCAGCTCGCCCTCCGTAATAAGGCGCTGAATCTCCGTCGGAGCTTCCCCGTTGACCGTGCAACCAAGTGATGCAGCCGTGCCAAGAATCTCCTTCACTGTACCAGCCAGGGCACGTGCCATCGAGCGCTCACGCATGATACGAGCCACCCCAATGACCTGGTCTAGGGACAAGTTGCCGTCGTGCTTAATGTTCTTGACTTTTTTGCGGTCACGCGGAGGTTCCTTCAGTTCCTTGACCAGCAGCGACGAGGCACTAGGAATCAGCGTCACAGTCGCTTGACGGTTGACGATCGTGAGCTTCACCGTCACGTTCATTCCCTTCCAGTCCTTTGTGGCCTTGCAAATGTCCTCGCCAATCTTCTTGGGGGACAGTCCGAGAGGACCAACCTTCGGAGCCAGAGCCGAAGCAGGGGCAACCTCGCCGCCCACCGTTCGCAGAACGACGATCTTTTCTTCGCCAGCCGGAGGTGGAGCGCCCATGGTGTTTATAGAGGATGCAGGGGGGAGAGGAAGAAGCTTCGGGTGGAGGGAGCGAATGCGAATGACAGCGCCAGTCGTGTCAGCGTAGCTCCTCGACCAACCAATGGGATCCTCGTAAGTACGAAACAATGGGCGTGCTTTTGTGTCTCATTCGATGTTGGTATGCAACACGGAGGGTTTATGCGAATTGGTAAGTGAATTTAGACGGTGACCTTGAGATTGCATAGTGTCACGATGCGACAAAAAGATAGCCTGAGCGATCGCAGATTCAGTATAATCTGTTGGAGAACCTGTTAAGATACGTACTAAATGTTAGAATACGATGAATACAGGAAATTAATGCGAACTGCCGAAGGAAATGATACGACTGCCGCCGAGCCCTGATGCAGACATCCTTATTTTCTGGTATCCCGAAAGCTACAGAAAATTCTGTACGTTTGGTATACTCCGCCGAAGGCGGGTGCCCTTCTGATGGGCTTATTTTCCAGTTGCCAGTAGTCTGTAGCTCTGATATTATTATGTAAACCGAAAAAAAAAAGCAGAATCGCTTATTTCCAGTTGCCACAAGCTGTATATCCCGTTTTCTGCTGATCCGGTAAGCGCATCCCTATCCACCACTTTAAAATATCCCGAATATAGAAAAACTCCATATTTTTGGCCCACAACTCCAGATTTATAGACACTCCAAGCCTCTCTTCAAAACCCACACATTCGAAGTCGCCACCAAAGCTACACCTACTACCCGCACACACTTATTTAAGGCCTCTGTAAGCCTGCTATGTTTAAACAATCATGCGAACTCGCTGGTTACTCACTAACTCTGTTGACTTTGGGTGGCAGGTGTAACAAGAAGTGGCGGCGTTTAGAATTTTGAAGTGGTGCATCCTGGTGTGGAATGTCAAAGAAGGAGTACTTTATTCGCCTTGTCCACTCGAAGAACACTGCAATTTGGAAATAAGATTAGTAGTGCGGTGGGTCGGTGATAAAAAATAGAATCGATTAATAAAATGAAGTTTTTCGAAACTTTTTGGACGTTTCAAAATATAGAAAGCTGATCGCATGGGATTTTGTCTTGAAGCGATCAATCGGTCAATGACTGTTGCAAATCATCCTTCTCAAACTTTTAAATACTGAAATCGTGCTCGACCGTTTCTTTTTTGGGTCACAGTAGACATACCACCAGAAAATAGTGAAGTCGCTAAATTTGAGACTACCTCGAATGGCGTGTTGATATCGCTGCATTCGTTGAGCGCCACAGTCAGTACAAATTCGTTTTGGGTAAAAATCTTGAATGTCCACATCGTCCCACATTCGCAAATGTTCCTCAAACATTTTCATGAAATGTGCGAATTCCGGGGTCAAAAAATTGGAGAGTCGGTGAGGGAGAATTGGATTCAAGTCTTCGACAGGCAGGCTGTTCTCTTTGCGCCCGGCCTGAAACTCCAGAAACCTGTCGACAACTGTACTTTTAAATGAGGCGATGCTTAGCCGGACGTTTGCATGAGCGTCATCAGTGTGCTGCTAATATAAACTTGTCCGCAATAATGCCCTCCAAGTCGACATTGGTAACGAACGAATGTCTGTGATTGTATGTGTCCTAATTTTAGACATTGCAAAATTGTCTGCTGCCAGAAGGTCGGAAACTAAGAAATTATGCACAGAATTGTGCCGACAATTATCGCTCCAACTCGCCTTTCTACTGCGAAACAAAGCTTGCGGCTTCACAACCGTCGTATTGGTTTGCTCAAGAACATCATCAAGGACTGACGGAAAAATCCACCTATTCCATGTCAGCTTATTGCGCATTCACTCCAGTCCAAAAGTCAAGTACAGCCCATGTTTTTCTTAATATTTCAGCGACTCTTACGAACTAAGAGCTGCTATTTGAAAAATGATAGATCTGTAAGTGGATCAAATAGGGTGCATATTTAATCGACTCGATTTAGCAGTTCGTAGGGAGTCTCCTATGCAAATGTCGAAAAATGGACGTGACCAAAAGGTAAGCCACCTTAATCCATGCGTTAATCGAGAAAAAAAAACAGAGGAAGGCCTCTTGTTGATTGCTATTCCGCATATTAAGAGGGAAAGAGCTGTAAGGTGAAGAGCGGAAAAAAATCAACGTTCTGTGTGAGGTCAAAGACGCTACGAAAGACATTGCGAGACGTCGCGTTCTCGTACATCTGTGCAATCTGTATTGCAGCTATAGCAAGTAAAGCTCATGACAGGCCGTCTTACTCTTCTTACAAGCAGCTACTTGCGGTGCGTCGTGCAAGAGGAAGCGACGGAGTTATACTTCCGTCCAGTTAACTGACAACCTGGATCTTAAGCGCTCCGCGCGGATTGTCCGCCGCATTCTCCTTGGTGTAGACTGACTCGTATGCGCTAAAATGGACTGCACCCTACCTCTCAGACGCGAGCACAAGAAAGCGAGACAGCTTTGGGCCGAGAGCCACGTGATGATGGGAAACGATTGGGACGCACTCATTGTCTCAGACGTTTTTTTAATTTTAACGGCCGATGGTTCCAAGAACGACTGGCGTGACCTGCGCTTCCCGCCTCTTGAGACTGTCCTTAGGCAACAATATGTCGGATCGATTATGGTTTGGGCCGCATTCAGTGCGAAGAAAAAGTATGAGATAGCAGTGCTTACTAAGGAGCAAGCGTCTGAGCATTATGTGTACACGCTATAGAAGTTTTACTTTTATTCTCACATCTTTACTACGATACCGACTACATATCCAGCTGGAAAACACATCGATTCATACGTCAGAGTTGACCGCAAATTTCTTAGAGCAGCAAGTGAAGGCGATGAAACGGACAGCACGATCAACTGATCTAAACCTGATTAAAAACTTGTGGTCAATCTTGGCAGCTAAGTGTACGCTAACGGTAAGTAGTATAACAACGTCAGCGAGCTAACAATAGCTATTTTTACTGAGTGAGCAGGTAATGTATCAAAACCTGCGCAATCTCGTAAATTCAATTACAAAACGATGCATTGAAGTCATCGAGCTGCGTGAAAAGGATTTTTTATTACATATAAACAGCTTTTTACCGCAGTCAATCTTGATTAATGTATGGATTAAGGTGGCTTACCTTTTGGTCTTGTCCATTTTTCGACATTTGTATGGGAGACCTCCCACGAACTGCTAAAATCGAGCCAATTACACATGCACCCTATTTAATACACTTACAGATCTATCATTTTTTATTATAGCAGCTCTTAGTTTGTAACAGTCGCTGAGATAATAATAAAAACATAGGGTGTTCTTGACTTTCAGCCTGGAGTATCCTTCTCTCATTAACAAATGCACGCAGCCGAACACGATGGCATAGAATGTGATTGCTCAGGCTTCGGTACGGTTTGTTGTCATATTTTTGGGGCCCTTGATCTTCATCTTAGCAATTAGAATATTTCTGTTTTGCAGCCAGGGCGCCAGACGATTGGAAACCGCATGAAAATCACAACCTTAAATTTTGGCAGTGGCATTCTTTGCAATGATGTTAAGGTGGTAACCCTATACTATGCGCATAGATCGAAACAGACATTACCGCGCAATCTGCGGCGCCAACCCGTTGTAGCATTCAGTCATTGTTTATTCGCTGATTGATCCAAATCTGAGCAGCTCAGATCACCAGCATGGGCAAATTACATCCACCAATTTTATCACGTACAAATTATCGCTGCAGTATGCAATCACATATCTGGAATACAACAACATAACTGTTATAAATAATACCACTAACATGAGATCGGAACGTGTTAATCGATTTGTATTATTCCATAGCTTATCGATGTGTCATTTAATTTTAGAACTTACCCTGTTGATAAGCGTTTCACGGCTCTGATGACCATCTCAATTACGGACAATCTTAATTCGGGCTATGTATTAGTTATTAGTGTAAATAGTGAAGACAAGCCCTGCTCTGCCATTGCGCTCCTGTGCACAACTTAACTTTATTGACCTGTTTAAAGAACAGAGAGACCGCTATAAAGTCAACAGCAAGATTGATCTAAAGCTGTCTACAAACTTGGAGCTAGTTCGATGTGCTTGTTAACTGTCTTCCTTGCATGCTTTTTTTTTCCTAATTAGGTCTTGCATACATGCAATGGTAGTCTTATTCGTATTTTCACCACAAAAGACACGTCCCTTGGTTAAATTATTGACAATAGAAGTGTGGGTAATTGATAGGCCACCTGGATTTTCTCTGACACAAGCTTGTCATACGTCGATAAACCTTTGTCAGACTCATTTAAAAGGGTAGGCTTGTCTGGCAGGTAAAATTGATTATTATTACATCCGAAGCGTCTTTTGTCAGCCCTTGTGGTGCAATTTTTAGTTGCCGGTCGTAAAGTACCCACTTTTCTAAAATTTGACATGTTCAGTACGCTTGCGCTTACAAATGCCCTCTTCATCCTCTTCGAAATCAACAATGACAAAAATCTGGCAGAGAACCGGAAAAACCAGCTTTGTGGTATGACTAATGCCTACAATCGTGAGCCTATGTTTTGCCTCATGGTAAATATTATTTGCTACGCACCGGGGCCTCGTCATGATTCTTGTCGAAAGCTGGCAACATTACCACGATGAATCGTCTGACAAGTATTGAGCTTACAAATAGACATCGCAGGGAGCATGGGTGACACCAGTAATCCTTAAACCATTGTCATCTATCTCAAGCAAACTTTTATGTGAAAAGGTGGTAGAGATAAATCAGTCATCATACCGATTTCACTTCTAAGTTTTGACCAGCAATATTTTAAAAAGTTTGCAAGTTCGAATTAGTAAATTGTTTGAGACTTTTTAGAATCACAGTATATCAAACTTATCACGCAGCGTCTGCAAGCATAACTTGGAGATGCGGAGGTCACAGCGGTAGTGGGACACAATTCACGACAGATTGAGCAATGACTTTGGTTTTAATTGTACATGTCGAAATAAATCTTCGCTGACTATACGGCTCCACACTTGCTTTTAAAAGGGACGATGTTTAGCAGC